GGCTTAAAACTGGTGGTCATCTTAATACATAATCATGTTCGCATCACTGAACACTATATACATTAAGTCAAATCATTTTGGAAGGTGTTCCAAACCGGAGAGGTCCAAATGTACAGCCCTGCGGGCATCTCCTGGTCACTCTCTACCACGCACTCACTACAGATTCTAGCTTGACCCAGTTATAACGGTCTGTGGAGTAGGAGACCATCACTGAATCGCCGACTGCTTTCCTCAACCGCCATAATCGTTTAATTCTGGTAAGTGTGAGTGTATATGGTACAGTGAATCAAAGGCTTTGCTCAGATCCGTGAAGATAACACACATGCACAACGTTATGCTCATTCAGAGCTAATTTCTAATTCTCAGTCAAAGCCAAGAGAGCTGTCTCAAAGTATTGATTTTCTTGTAGGCTGTTAGTTTATCGCAGAGTTTGTTATTAAAACCATAACTGAGTTGCTTGGTTAGTAATTGTTCAAAGAGTTTGATCACAGTAACTTGTACAGTTATTATTCTGTAGTTTCTCCTTTCATGGGGATCTTCCTTCTTAAAAATCCCATAAGCCATTCTCCGAGGGTTATACATGAATTAAATAGTGACGTCAATGGATTTGTAAGCTCTGAAGCTCCAAGTTTGACAGTCATGGAAGGGATGCTGTCCCAGCTTGTACTCTTCCTTACATTAAGGTTTTGCAGCACCTTTTCAACTTCAAAACTCTGAAGATTCTGAAAGTGGAAGCCTTGATATCCTGTCATGTTCTGCATAATATTCTGGACGCTAGGGTGGGTGGCGAGAACTTTGTCATCAACCGCACCGGTGTCTCCAATCCCATCAACCACAGTAGCAAAATATTCCGGCACAAAAGTGAATGGTACAATCTTGCCTTTCTGGTGTTTTACAGTCTCATTCAGGAATTCTTAAACAAGTCCTTGGTCACTGAGCGCAGGATCATAGATCCCACACGTTCTCAAATAGTTCCGATGGTTAGTGAGGATAACATCAATCAAGCTCTTAGTGACAAGAGAGCCTCTCATTTGTATCCGAGTGGGTTTCGTTATCATACATTCAAGGCCCCGTTCCACCTCAAGATCAAGAAGAAGCTTTCCTTCAGGGCTGCTGGGTTCCATCCTGTTCAGGTTTAGGTCGCCTGTTATTATAACCGTTGGATATTGACGGCAAGCCCAGTTGGCAATATGACTTAAGGTGCGGTTCGATATAGTTTTTCAGGGTCAATACCTCCCAAGTTTGAGCATAAACTACGTCACCATAAACAAAGATTTAGAAAAATTGCCACTACAATTGCATTAGATAAAGATGAAAATTTGTTATGATCAGGTGCAATGACATCGGAGTTGTCATAGCAACCAAATGACGCCAATACTAATTTTACTTGCAGCCGGCATTCTGTATTTCTCGGCGCTGGGAACTGCTTTCCCCAAAATCGTTCTCGGGAGCTTTTTCCTCCAATAGCTGCCTCGACGTTCGTGACGTTTAAGCGAAATCTGTAAGAGCTTTATCGAGATATTTTGGGATGAAGTTTTTATGGTTGGAAAAACGATAAAAAATGGATAATCTTGACGTTTGGCCGAGGCGCTTTTGACGTGCAATTTTGCCCCATAGTAGTTTAAATCTTTTTAAAAACATGTGTGAAAGATCATGGAGATAGATCCAGCCGAAGGCTAGAGAGAGAGATTTAATTAGCATGTATCGAGGCGCTCTTGTTAGCGGTTTTGTACCAAACTTTTTAATTTCTAAGGGCTTACTTTCCTGCTAATAAAATGAACTGTACGCAAATAGCGAAAACATCCAGTTTCTAATCAAATCTTTTCTTATGGTTTAGAATCAGAAATATCTGAAATATTCTCGAAACTGAGAATGTTTTGATCAAAGCTGTGAATTAACCGGACCATCCAACTGAATCAGTGAATAAAACCTTGCGTTTCCTTACGAATTAAACGGCTGTGAGGCTTTTGGTCGAGCGGGGAACTGGGGAGAGGGAAAACCGAAAAGGCCTGTGGACAACTGTGGACAGGCCTTTAGGGCCGCCGTAGTCTGTGAACCAGGAGCCCATCAAATGGAGCCTCCATCTCCCATACAAGCCCTTGGAGTCAACCCTTTCCCGAGTAGATTTATAATTAGAACAGTTCCCAGGGGAGACTTCGCGCGCCGACGGTGGGAAGCCAATCACAACGACGAAATTACACTGCTATTATACTTCATCAAACAGCAGGAAATTCGGTGTTGACAGGCCAAACACAATCATAAGCTAGTGAAACGTGACTTTAGCGTTTTCATCCCTCAGAGATTTTCTTTTTTTCTTTCTAGGGGTAGATTATACTGTGGAGAGTGTTAAACTCTGACTATGTTAATCTTAATTTTGGTTGCTTGTCTCACATTAAGAGGCCATGAAGCTGGTCTGTTACATGCATAATGATTAACTACTACCGGCAGTCTGTAGTTCTGACGGGATTCGTTTCCTTTAGCCAATTTTTCTGCGCTTTAAGGTTCTTATTTCGGCTAAATGAGTCAATATTAATCAAATTTCTAGTTTTTCAATTTTTTTTTTCCGCAATGGGTTTATCTGATCATGAATAAATACTTGTAGTCCTTGTGGTTGTTTCGTTCGTCAGCTAGTGTGATGATTCCCTGCCATGTTTTGTAACGCCGGGCCCAGCCATTGTTTTCTCGCAAAAAAGTGATCTACAGATGCGAATTCGAAGGAAGAAATTGAGCCTAAACTTCTACATTAACTGCTGAGAATTGTCCTGTTAGTCGGTCATGATTCTTTTGGCGCAAATACAATCGATTTTGTTTTTCTTTAGATAAGTGGGTCTTTGGACTGGAGCGCGATGTCACAAATTCCTCCGTTAGCAAATTACTTTTGATTTAGCTTCACGGTCGAGCAACTGTTGTCTTCTGTTCAACTTTTCAAGTGCCAGTTTTCTCAGGCAACTCTCATGATGATACAAGTCAGTTGTAATGGAAGACTGCAATTTCTCAAATTTCGGAACTGAAGCATTCCTCGTTAGTTGCTACTTAGGTCATCGCTTTTGCTTTGCACGCGGTGCTAATCAGTTAACTGGCGAAAACCACTCCACGGTGATGACAAAACTCAAATGATTCTGGCAATTTTTTCGGCGCTAATCATCGAAAAGTTCCAAATCGTCCACAGAACGCTTAATCGTCGACTCTTTCCAAGGTGCATACTTAAATGTGGGATGTATGACGGCAAAAAAAAAAAACACTCGCAAAGATAACCTTTCCGTGATCCTCAGTTCGCTGCCTTTGTCCCATCACTTCATGCTTGGTCTCAGTCGGGTAATCATTAACTTTTATTTCATGATACCCAGATCCCAGCGGCTGTAAAATTGTAAAAATGGACGTAAAGGAAAAAAGGAAAACGGTCGTAGGGCGGGCTTCTGAATTCGACTTCATCCAGTTTTATTTTTTCACGGTGACACACGAGACCGACGGAAATATGACACTTTTGGCGGGAAACTAGCCGTTCTATTTATAAATCTACTCAGGAAAAGGTTGACTCAAGAAATTAATGGAGATGGAGGCTCCATCACATATTTTTTTCCCTTAAAAGAACCGAGAGCCTGTTCACAGGCTAGCCTGTTCCAGGCTCCGAGATGGTGGTGGAAAGTCGTTCAGTAATAAGAAATGCGAAAAACGCGCGGGGACTGGGCGAGACAGGCCCATTTCTTCCGCCGCCACCGTCCCCTTTCCCAAGTCGTGCGCGTCTTATTTTCGCTTTGCTTATTTCTGCTTTCCCACTATACTATCTGAGAGCCTGGCACAGGCTACGCTCAAAGTCACTTGGAAACAGCTCAAAATGGTTATCTCGACCTGAGATGTGTAAGAGACAACAGGATCATCAATTATCATGAATTTGGCCAGGGTCTTCCTGCTACAAAACGTAGCGCTGGGGCAGCGAAAACTTTTAATGCTGAGTGTTAATTGAGTTGAGAGACCAACCGATTCCAATGAAAAGCATAAAATGGCCATAAATCGGCTCGGGGAAACCAGAGTACAGGGAAGAAGAAACTCACTATTATTTACGCATCACCCTGATAATAATAATATTTTGAGACCCATCATGGAGATCACGCGTCACAGAAAACAATCGATCAGTCCTCAAAAATTAATAACCACGTTTTAATAGTTGAAAAAAAATATTAAGTGATGCCGATAGTTTCGTGAAATGGGAAGAAAAATAACAATAATAATAATAATAAAGGCTTCGAATTCTAGAATGTAAAAAGAAAATTGCACTGCTTGAAATAAACGTGGAACAAGAACACAAGAGCGGTCGATTATTACCGTGGCTCATACTTCTCAAAATCCTAAACGCTTCCCAGAATCCAAAACACTTTTGGATTCTGGGAAGTATTAGGTTTTGGGAAGTGTTTTAGATTCGGGGAAGTGCTTTTGGATTTTGGGATGTGTTTTTCGTTTTTGGGAGGTGTTTTAGATTCTTAGTGTTTTGTCCCTACGACCCACCGTAGATTATAACCTGTTTTTCTCGCATCTAGTAAGTTAAGGCAGTCTTAAACCTGCGTTACGCAGATAATTTAATTTTGCACGTGCCGGCGACCTTTACCTCAAACAGGTTACATGTTCGCCACCACATCGTTCGCCACTTGACATTTTGCCAAGGAATGCATTATCATAAAACCGTAAAAAGAAAAACAAAAGATCTTTACTTTTCGTTTACGGCACGATGAATCACACAATTCATAAGATTTATATTCCTGTAGTGTTGTAAGGAAACAAGGGCGACAAAACAAGTTTTTCTTTGAAGATGGACCGGACAGCCGGAGAAACTTGAAAATGCTGTTGTTTTCTCTTAGTAAAACTACTGCACGTGAAATCACATGAACGTCTTCGTTCGTGATTGGTTGAAACGATATAGAGGAACATGACGTACATGCTAATTGCGGAATCCAAGACCAAAATTATCACTGGGGTGGGTAGAACATCATGATTTATCTGTCCTGAGAAAAGGCCCTATTTTGTCTTTAAGCATAACTTTACATTTACAGAAACGATTTTAGTCATCATTATTTACTTCAGCAACCAAGCAGTATTTTATTTGGTGGTTAATGGCTGCTTACTAAACATAAAAATAATTTACCCATGTCCCTACCAGTGGGGCGTATGTTCCCGTCAACACTGGATGGCATCTCGACTATCACTATCAAGGCGGACTCGATCGAAGTGTGTTGTTGTAACTGGTTTTTCTGTCGCAAGATGTGATTCAAATACACATTTCGTAAGTCCAACACCGTCAAATCTTCACTTTCGTTTGAACAGTTTAAGTGAGTTAAAGGGAAGTATTGAAAATTTCGTTGTACTATTGGCGTTTGCGGATATATCTACCAGTTTCTTCCGTATTTATTTAGACGGCACTGTAGTGTCGGCGGCGTTGCATTCATTTTGTCGTGCTTTGTGAGTTGAAAAACCGATACGAGGGGCGAGAATTGGACTGTTAGGAGTCCTCAGTGTATGGATATGGTTGTCAAGATTATGCAGGCGGGAGTTCCTACCCATTTTGATCTTGAAAAGTACTCTACACCACTGCTTAGGCATTGGCGTGAGAAAGCCAAGAAGAGAACTGCAAACGAAGCGTTTCTAAAAGCCGCGGACGCTTTTGACGATCTCGAGTTAGCTCCGAGGACAAAACGTGTGGCGAGGCGACCACCGCCTGCGTTAACGATATATGTACGGCGAGAGAAGGAAAAAGCATACAATGCAATAATGCTGGAAGAGGTAACAGTTGAAAGTTTGAAACTTGCCGTGTCGGAGAAGTACAATACACCGACAGATTCAATCACGAGTTTTGCGCTTCGTGGCAAAGAAGGGTAAGTCAAGTAAACTATATTTTGTGCCTCTAGAGGTCAAAGAAAACTTTATGTTGGGTTGAAATGTGGAAAGCAGGAAGTCTTTCAAAAAGGAGCTGATTGATGAACTGTTGTTCTTTCTCACTGCACTTTCGTACCGCATAAGCATGAGTAATGTTTGTTGTCAATGGTCACTTGTTCCGCTTGCTTCAGAATCTTCATTAATATAGCTAGTCCAATTTTGTAATCGTTTAGGAGTTCAGCTTTGTCTGGACCAAAAGCAAAATCGTTTGAATTACAGCTGCAGCTTGACATTTCCTTAATATGATAGTACACTTGCATCACGCGCGATATTATAACTTTTCTGATTATTTTATTTTCCTTGGTTTCGTTTCGGAAATAGTTTTTGATTATGTTCTTTTTTGAACACAAAAGTAGGAGGTTTCTGTAGGCTATACGTGCATTTTGCCATGTTTAGGAAGTGATATTTTATTTGGAGGAACTTGGTCACGTTGTGGTTTGTACGATCTGCCACGTGCTCTCTTGATTTACCAGTTCGTAACTGGTTTGAGCTATACAACCATAATCATTTCCCACTAGACTTACTTTTTAATTGGCTTTTATGTTTTTTAGATTTTTGCAGTGTTGTTTGTCGTTATTTTCATTCGTAGAACTTATGATTTTTGTTATTCTTGCAAGTCCCGTACGTATTAAAATATTATATTCTCTTCTGAACTCTTTAATAGCTTTTGTTGTGAAGCCAAAGTTCATATGCTAATCACGTAGCCATTCCCCAATATTCTCTACATAATTCTAATAATAATTCTATACATTTAGTATTGTAGCTTTTAAGAACTTTTGAACTGCAGATGTGGATCTCCATGGTAATTTAGTCATGTACATGCAGAATTGAACATAAAGCATGATTTATCATGTGACACCATCAAATAGAAATAATCTAGATTTCCTCTGTCTGAATTTTAGAAATTTCAACACATTATTTTTCATTCTTGACTTGACCTAGGTATGGGGTATCCTTAAAATTCGGTCAATTTCTTGTAACATAACCATCACATCTTACCAACTTAAAAGAATCTTTCTTTATTATTAACTATAAAGAATCAAGGGCAAAAAAATCTTCCTAGTCACATAAGAATTATACGTAATATCCAAAGATAAGGCAAAGATTCCCCTCATCTGCTTAAGAAACTCGACTTTGAGCTGACAGTAAACCACACATAAAACAGTTCCATGATTTCATGCATGATTATTAATCTCGTACTGACCACGACTAATCCTAAAGCAAAAGGAAACTAGAACCAGTTCCAATCAAGTTGTGTGGGCTTAAAACTGTGCCAGTTATCATTAATTTTTTTTGTTTAATAAATTCAATATTTCACAGTTAGTGCTATAGGATATTTAAATATTAATTCGTCTTTTGTGTTTACAGAATTAAAATTCTATGAACTTTGCCCCTGCCACAGGCTCATATTGTTTTGAAGAACAATAATGCAGTTTTTCAAAGGCAATAATGATCTGCACTTAAAGAAAAATGACCACAATGTCATGAATGTACAAAAGCAGCTTGTGAGCAAGTTGGATGCTGTGATATATTCAAATGCACCATTAACCATGAAAGTAAAGCTTTTAGTGTTAACAGATCAAACACAGATAGTACGTACTCTGCATGATTTGTTGACTTGCACACGGGTCAGTGAAACATTTCCACCAACTAAGACTTATGCAAAAATATTACAAACCATGACATTTAATTGATACTAAATTTGTTGTTCTTTAGGTCTTTGGCGAAAAGGTTGGGTTTTTAGGGAATTAAAAAAAAATATATTTCTACAAGAACTTTTAGGCAATTTTTTGTTCTTTTTTCTTCACAAACACAAGACCAATAAAAGAATCAAGCTAGACTGACAAACTACAGTTATTTCTTATGTAAGCTTTTGATTGCAATGTTGCACAAAGGTTTTTAGAAGTGCTGTCTGTTCAATACTATCCACAGTTGTTTGCCCCCTATTGAGTATTCCAAGTGCTCAACAAATTTATTTTATTGTATATCTCGTATGTTTATTAACCGGTTTGTGGGTTAACGTATTAGAGACTCAGTTGGGTAGACCTGTTGTAAGGACCACAAGATTCAACCTGGTTGTAAATTTGGTCGAGCCATTTCCTTGCTAATGAAAACAGGTCACTAAATTGAATTTTGTTCACTTGTCTCCGCACAGCTTACTTTTGAGTTTCACTTTCGTTGTCAAACAAGATACCATTGACAATACTAATCCTTGTTATGTAGTTTAGAGTAAGGAAATGCAAAAATAGTTCTGTCTGGTTTGCTTCTACTGATACTTCCTGCTCTTTACATTGTACCATTATTACTTTTTATTTCTTTCTTTCTTGAAGAGCATCAATGTGCTATGTCATTGTTGTGTTGTTGACTGCTGTGTTGGAATACTTGAAGCGTGTGTTGTGTTTAACCTTAATTTTTAAGTGTGATGGTAGCCTTATTCATGATATAGGCTCATAAAACTGTTGCTCTCTTTGATTGGAAATCTTTGTAGTATTTTGTGCAGGATTTTTCCAAAGTGCTGCAAATTGGGAGAAACGAGTCCCTACTGTAAAATTTAGGCATTTAATGCTTGAGCCACTTTGTCTTGGCAGCAAAAGTTAACATTGTGATATAGGAAACCAGAATGATTCTGGTTTTCTATCTCACAATATTATCGTCGTTGAGTTGGGGAGGTGACTCGATAATTTCCAATTATTTCTCTCGATTGGTAACTTTGTTTCTATGTCATGAGTAAGAGCAGTATGAGTGTGAGCTGGGGAGTTGCAAACGTTCTCTGTTGTCTTTTATACTAATACAGACTGTATGGAGTGGCTGCAGAGATAGAAAGATCACAGAAGCCCACATTTTTCCATCAAAACTCCATGGTGTTAATTATTACGTTATTATACATATTTGAGGGCTGCTCTTTTTTTCTGCGCATTCCAAGACCTTTTTTGCAAGTTTTAAGTCAGGTTTTTTGACAACTTTAGACCAGGAAATCTGAGAAAAATATCATTACTCAGACCTCAAATTCAGATTGGATTTTTGATATACTGAATGTGGTCTTTTGTTGTATTTCTTGCTAAGAGCGTGCTATGGGTAATTCAATAGTATGTAACTATTTTTAAGAGTAGAGGTAATTTATTTTTAGGCCATTGTAACAATAATGGGTATAATGGCAAGATCATATGACCCTGTGACAGCATACAGTACTTTTGTCACTGAGGAAAATAGATGTGAAAACTGTAGACATGTTTAAGGGTCCTGTGAAATTTGGATGATAAATTACCTTTACGATGAATATTTACACGTCTTTGTTTTTATTTTTTCTTAGTTTATAATGTTGATGTTGTTTTGATTTGTAGCTAATATTCAGTGTTCGTGATTATCGCTGCCCAGATTGGTATAGTACCCATGTTGTTAGATTTGGTTTGTGCATTTAGAAATGTTTTGTTATATAATATCTTTTTGGTTATTTTGTCTTAAAAACCAATTCAAAACAATTCTTGTGAGACTGGACTGTTTGGTTAAGCTGTTTACTTGTTTCTGAGAAACATGTGGAGTTCTGTGATTTTTCAAACTTTCTCTTGCAGCAAAATTGAAAGAAACTCTTGTTTTATTTGTTTTGATAAAGCGTGAAAATTTGTCTCACTGCTGGCATGCCTTCATTAAAAATAAGTTAATAAAAGAAGGCTGATACGTAGGCGTGAATGTTTCCTTCTAAAGAAAAGATCCTGATAGGCAAAGGGAAGCTTGTTTAGTGACACGGAAAAAAAAAATTGAAATTCTTTGAGGTACTTATTGAAAATGACTCACATAAGTAGGTGTTGTACGTTGGTTTATTGTTTGAATTTTGCAGCAGCTGATGTGGGACCATTGGTAGGGCCTCACAGATGTCAAGATGGACTTTAGCACACCTACGCAGTTGCAGGGTAGCATAACAATTTTAGAATTACAAAATAAACCAACATCTTGTTCCAACTGGAGATAATGAAATCATTTTTTTTGTTGAAATATGCATTTATTTGTTATTTTGTCATTAAGCATGCTTGGGCAGGGTTAATTTGAGTAAATGCAACCATGCCAGAACCGCATTCATTGAGTTTCTTGTTAGATCGCATGTTTTGTAATTAAAATATAAATAAATTTTTATTTTGTTGGAGTGAGGTACAAACCTTAAGCCTTGCTCTGTCGGCTTGGTTGTCTATTGCTCAAACAAATGCAGTGTTTTCCCCTTGCTTTTACCTTTGTGTTACTGTGTAGCTGTTGTTTTTCTTAAATGTGTATCAGATGTTGTTGCAATAACTGTGAAATGTCAGTTTCTTGTATTATTTCAACATTTTTGGACTTGAAAGATGCCCAAAAAAATAAATCAATAAATCAATAACAATAAAAGAAAAAACGCGTCAAAGAAGATGTGCTAATGGCTTTGCCTCTGTTTCATTTGTTATTGCAAGGACATGTTGTGGAGTTGTGTGAAATGGTAGTGTTTGTGTGTGGTGCATTGTTACTGTGGGGGCATTCTGACAGTTTCATTGCATCTTCCCAAGTCCACAGTGGAACCTCGATATAACAAAAGGACCAAGGGACCTACAAAATGTGCTTGATAAAGTGAGGTTTTGTTATGTCGAGGTTCTCTTTCTTACATTTTGCTCTTACTGGGGTGAAGAATTTTGCTGTATCAACAACTTTGTTATTAGCTAGAGTTTCACTATACCGAGGTTCCACTGTCTGTATGTTATACATGTACAGGGGTCTTGTGGCAAACATAAAATAATATTTTGGTTTGATTAATGATAATTTATTATTAACGAAAACGTTCTGCTTCATACTTTTCCGGCTAGTGTGCTCTTTTGTTACTTGCCCCTGCACTTGTATACAGCAAAATTTTGTGGTGTGTATACGTGGTTGTTTTCATAATGAAATCAGATAAAATAAATTTACTTCTAGGCTTTCATTCTACAAGTTAATGTGACGTTATTCTGATATCAGCATATACATATTTGTTTGAACTTTTTGAAATCTTTTGAAGATAAAGTAGATTTTGGATACTAAGTATCAGCACTATCTTCAGTCCATGTAGAGGTTTTGAGTGCAGGTGGAACTGAATGAACACAATTGTTTGATTTTAAAGCTTTTGTTAAATACTCCAGAACTCTGAGATGAGCAAACACAGAATTGAAAGTTAATTCTGCAGATATGAATTTTTGAACACCATTGTGATGCAACCATATATTCACTTCTTCTGAATTTGTAACTGAATAAGTTCATTAGGTCATTAATGTATTCCTGACTTGTTTTGACAGTGGAAACCTACTTTTTTGGATCACCATCTTAAGTGCTGTTCTCTTTGTTTATTGTCTTGCAGGACATCTTCAGAAATTGATGACCAAGCTGTAAAGGGCTTTGATGATGAGGATACCTTCCTGATATTTTTGAACTATGATGCTGAGAAAGGAATTTGTAGCGTAGTATTAGAAACAAGCTGACAAAGGGGATTCTGGGTTCTTTTGCCCAGTGATGAAGTGGCCAACTAGAAACAAAGTAGTCTGCAAGTTGTATATGTATCCTGCTCTACTAGTGTGGAGATTGAAGCTGGAGTTCCTTGCCAGAAGAGGTGTTGCTCAGAGATGTTGCTGAAAAGTAGTTTTGTGCAGCTCATATGGCTTATATTTGAACAGTTTGTGTTTAGAGTAAAACTCTGTCTAAAGGACCATGGTCAATTTCTGACACAGTGTGCAAGCATGTCCTGTGTCCATTTTACTGACCCCTTCTAAAGGGAGTATAAATTTAATGTTTGCTATGTATGAGACATTTGATACTTTCGAAGATTTGTAATTTTTTATTTGTAACAAGAAGAATGGAGACTTTGTCTTCAGCAGATTGTATATTTGAGAAAAGATTTGTCATGGTGGAAACTTATTTGCCCTATAATTTAAAATATTTCTTGGACATTTTTAACAACAGAAAAACTGTGGTTAATTTACTGGAAAATTATCAAAAATGCAAGTTGCCTCAGTGGCAGCACTGTATCATTCTTAGAAAAGCATGTTGCCTGAGATTGTTATATTATATTTTACATTTTTTTCAGATGGTCATGTTAGTTGATATTTAACCTGGTTAATGATAGAGTTTATATTATCGTTTCTGTTAATGCAAGAGTTTAAGAGCCATTGTTATTGTTCTGTAGGCTAAAGAGTGAGTGAAATGTTCTTACGAGACCACGCTCACTAGCATTTATTTTTAGCTTGATTGACGGAAATTTTCCACTTGATGCAAGGTGTAAAGAAAGTCAGTTTTACAGCCTGCCGTTCAGGCAAGCTGTAGTTAGTTAGCATTTACTAGCCCAAAAGTCAAGTTTTGATGTTAACTAGCTCGATGATGAGCAGGTTTGATAACAGTTCTTTTGTGATTAGAATTGCTTAAAGATTTCACTTGCCAGGCAGGCAAGTTAAGAACAGAATTCATTAACCAGATAGTTAAATCCATTAGCCATGGGCTATCGGACACGACTTTCTTTGCACGCTCTGATGTTATCTTTTGTTTTGTCTTGACAAGGTTTGCTATTTCATCGAGCATCTTTCCTATGCTTGGGCTGGTTTTTTTCATTTATCTTTTGGACTATGCTCCATGCCCAGACAATAATTTATTATTGAAAACTTAATTCAGGAATAGCTAGGTTTGCTTAAGTGCATTGTTGACACTATAACAAAGTTGCATTTTGATTATTGAGTTGAAGAAGGTAAATGTGAGGAATTATGTGCCACATGGAAATACTGCTGTCTTAAATACCAAAAGATTTGTAACATGGTTTACAAAGTGTCTCTTGTGCTAAAGTTATTTTGACCTATCCAAAAGTGTTGGAATCATATTTTGAAAATGTAAGGTCACTTCATACTACATATATGAAGTACGTAATGTCTACCCCTGGGAAAATGAACAAAAGACTCTCAATATTATTTTGTATCCATTCACCAGAATTGTAACAATTGTTAGAATTTTATTTGGCAGACCTAGCGTTTCAAATATGTTAGTGTGTTCAATTATCAATTGACAATTATCTTGAGGATTTTGCACAATCAGTTCAAACCTGTTAAGCACTGTCCACCATTGCATATGTCTGGAAAGAATTTTCTTTGTAAATGGTGCACAGCATTCATCACAATGTGGCAGTTATAATTTGTCATCTTGGCTCTTGTGGGTTGAATCAAGTTGCGTATCGACAACAAACATTTTTCAACCTTGTCTGAGGGTTCGCAGCAAACATGCCAGATAGTTTTTATGTTGTAGTGGCTGTAATGAACATTAATTTAGTTAGAGTAATCTCAAGATGCTCAAGATTGAAATGTTGTAACTGAAACCTTGTACTTTTGATGATTAAGAAACAACATGAAATAAACTTAAAACTATTCTCTGTAAAGATGAAATCCTCATGGGTACCTTTTTCCAACCCAAGGTATGAGGCCAATGAGTAGTCCCCTCATGTTAGTTTCATATTGAAAGGGATCGGAAGAAAAGCCCCCTTCTGCCAGAAATCCAGAACAACACACCATACATTGTCCTTCTAGTTATTTGTATGTCACACAGATCAGTAATGCAGCATGGTGCTCAAAGAAAAGAAATGCCATTTTTTAATTTTCCACTTCCACGTTGCCCATAATATTTTATGCTATCCCCCAATTCTGCCTAAGCTTTCTATTTTTGGGATGACAAAAGAGAAACTGGTGGAAACACGCTGGTCCATTTTATGTTACTAGTAAAGCATGTAGTACACGAAGTATAGTGTTTGTGACCAACAAATGAAATGGTGTGCTTTCTATATCGGTTATTTCCCTCATTAACCATACACAGAGTGGGAAAGTTTGTGCTAACTAATAAAGCTGATAAATAATTATTTTATCTCAAAACTCCTGATCTTCATTACAAATGGTTGTTACTGTAAATGGTCTTTTAACGTATTGTGGGTACATAATATAACTACTATTGTTGGCTAAACGAGATTGTGAACATTATGTACAAAAAAAATGATAAAACTCCACACCTTATGATTCTTTTCAATTATACCTCTTAACACAGGAATGTGGCCTAGATTTCCAAGGCACAGTCCTTTCTTAGAAGGAGGGCAAAATTATTACTCCAGACATGCATACTATAGAATTCTGAGAACTGTTGAATCAACTTTGAGAAAAAAACCGCCTGTTTTGCGGTCTAAACTAGTGTCTCCTCATTAGGGGGGGAGGGGGGATATGCATGTACCTAGATAGACTGAATGTTAGAAGCAGTTGTTTAGCCTGCTAAAGGGGAGGCTATATGTCAGGGGCGGATCCAGGATTTTTTTGAGGTAGTCCCTTCATTCCGGTTCATGGAACAAACCAAACGGAATGTTGCTTTTCTCGGTTCCTTCTTGCTTCCAGACTGACGCTACACAAATTTGCCCCTTTTCTGGAATCAAACCATATATGGATGTGGAAATTCTGCGTTAACCTGGCAAATCGCTTACCAATATAATTTTGACACCCCAACCGGATTTTTCTGTCAAGTTACTCAGGTTGGTTGGTATGACAACTATGCTGTCACAGTATTATGTTCAAACGACACCTTGTCCACAATGCAGTGAGGAGCCCTTGAACTAATGATAATTTGATACCATCCTTTATTAATTATTCAAAATGTTCTAATGGTGAAACAAAAAAGCCTACCAATGGTACAAACTTGATTTACTCATCACTTCTTCATGCAGGAATTTTAGATGCAACATACCACACGATTAACTATTCCATCATTAAGCCTTTGTGGTTGCCAGATATTTGCATTTAGTAGGTAGGGAAATGAATTATTAGCCAGGAAGTTCTTTCGGTGTCATTATCCTTTTGTTTCCTACGAACATAGACAGACCGGGCTCAAGCTCAGTAGCCGGGAGAAATTCCAAGGCCTTGGTGACAGCCCTGATCGTACTAGGCACTTGGAGCTTTCCAACCACTTGGAAAACTTCATTTCAAATAAAGGACTTAACTTTCGGGGTCCCTCCCCTGACAAAAGCTTAGAAATTTACATGCACACCTGCCAACCCCCATAAAGGAAAATCTGGAGACTCATGTAAAAAATTTTGAGATTCTATACAAATGTAGTGAGATGGTCTCTCTTTATAAACAAGATGCTTTCTTTGACGATTCTACAGAGAGGTCATCACTAGTGTGAAACTTCAGGCAAGGGGTTGATTCTGCCGGATGAGCCAACTTTTCGTTGTCAAAAATGTCAGAGAAAGTTCCATCAAGGCTCAAAGAGACACTAACATTTCCCACTAAATTTCCATTTTCATTCAACAATTTAAGGTAACATTATATTTCAGAATGTAAAAAGCTGTGAGCAGTGCAAGTCTTGTTGTAAGGCCACAAAAAAAGTTTAAAAACGCCAGACTCACGGCAGAATCGTGAAAGTTGGCAGATCTGTCACACAAGGAAACTCGATCAGATTGCTAAATGGTTGTAAAGAATAACTCCTGATTAAGAAATTTTTAACTTTAATACAAACAAAATATTACAGAGTACTGAACTGTTCAAACTCAAAGAAATATTGACAGATTTACATATATAATTGAAGCCTACACTTAAGAGGAACTCCAGTGTTCACTACTCTGTTTGTATGACTGCTAATATGTTTACAAATCCAATATAATTCTTGAATCTAGTAACACTGACTTAGTATTACAACCAGATATTATTGCAGTCCATGATTTACTGCTACATGGATATACTTTTACACACATTCATCAACAATACCTGTAGAGGTAAAATGATGCATTTTACCTTTGGAAATCCACCACAATACCACACAATAGTGGGAACAAATTTTTTTAACCCTTAGTGAGACGATGAGAATCCCTCCTGTTACATGTGGGAGTCCTCCCTGGAGCCTTTTGCTGTTCACTTGAATGCAGTTTTGCTATACAGTAGATCAACCCTTAATAACTAAGACTAGGATAACAAAAATTCCCCACTGACTCGCGCCAAATTTCCTTTCCCTTGGTCAAAATTTCACCGAAGTTTACCCTGAAAACTCGAATTCCCCGTTAACTTGAACCGTTTTCTGTTTTCCCTCAGAGTTTGAGTTACTGGGGCTCTACTCTAAGTTTATTAATAATGATGTGTTATCTAGTTGTAGGGGTGCCGAATGGTACCTCGAAAAACGTGGGTCTCGGAAAATTTTGGCAGGATCTCGAAATCGCGGAAGTGTTTTTGATAAGTCTCGAAGTCTCGTTTTTTCATGGTTTATTTTTACTTTTTTGAGTCTCAAAAATTTTCACCAAAGGGTCTCGGGCTTGGATTTCTAACTAGGATCTCGGCTTCTCGGCGAGTCTCGGATTTTACCATTCGCCACCCCTAGTTGTCATCTAGTTGGGATTTTTACACTTTCACAAGAGTAGTAACCATGTACCATAAGGTCTGGCTGGTTCAGACAAGTCACAATCTTTATACGCTGAAAGATCAATTAAGAATCTTAAATTTTTCGCATAAGTAGATGCATTGATTTGCTTATTTTCTTAGGTTTGAACCTGGCCAATACAAACACAAGCTCAAAAGACAGTGTTATTATAAATAACTTATTGAGTGCGTCATTGTGCACTTAATCTCACTGTCCTTGTGACTGCACTGGAAAGGAAGACTTAATTACAATGATGTGGGATGTGGGATGTGGGCTTGGAGCGGGGGAGGGGCTGTATTAATATTAAAAAGAGCACTCAGATCAATATATATCCACTTCCTGATCACATATTTGATTGAAACTGAGCGATCTGCGCGAGTCTTTGTTCCAGCTCAGCTGCTTTGATTCGCAGTCTCTGTACTTCCTCCTTTAAAAGCGTATTCTCTTCCTCGAGGTTTTTGTATTTATCACTAAGCTCAATCTCTTTCTGTCTCCTCATGTCCCTGGAACGTTTTGCCGCCACATTGTTCTTAATCCTGCGCTCCCAGTATTTTTCATCCTTGGAAGATTGCGTGACAAACTTTCTGTCTGCCTTTTTCGCTATTGGTAGGGGATTGTACACGTATCTAGAATTTCTACGCCTTCGCACTGGGGTCTTTCCCGGTTCGGGGCCCATCGCCTCTCCATGCTCCTGCCGTGTGATACCTACAGATTTGCACCACTGGATGATAGCGTTTGTGGCAGTTGGCTGCGAAGTGCTTTCAAAAGGCTGAATAGCTGGTGGATTAACGTTTAAAGGTAGAGAAGAGACCTTGGACAAAATTATCGAGTTGAGAACAGTACTGACTTCTGCTGATGTTTTCGACGGTGAGGCCTGCGTACCAACCGCCTCCTTGCAGCCTGTGGTCGCAACCGGCCTCACAGCTCCGTTTGCCGGATGATTTATGGCCAGTTCGCAGGATTTGGGAACCTCTTGACTCTCTTGGGCGTTTTGGTTGTTTGCGGCGGACAAGAATTCGTCCAGATCCATATAATCGGATGGAAAACTATTCCCCGTAGAGGAAGACATAGTATCAAGGCCAGAATCACTCGATTCGCTGTCGCCTGTAAATGTAAACAGTGAATACACAAGAAGTTATACGTTGTGTTCTTTATCGTAATCATCCACAAATTAATTTAAAAATTTAGAAACATCCCAAAAGGTTGTTACTACGCTTAGTAGGTCATAGATTGCCCAGCAGCGAGATGAGAGTTTTCTTACTTTCGCGCGAATGCTATCGTAACTTGACCAAATTTTCGTTAAGCTTACTCAATAACAGATAGAAATGTATTCAACCGACAAATTTTACTTACTTTGGTTGGGAACAGAGGGACTGGAACGTCTCGACATTATTGCTGCGTTCTCCCTTTCGACTGAACAAAATTATAGTAGGCTACGATTTGTTTCGAAGCAAAATATGAAAATTCTTCGAAACATTGCATTTTGATTGGCTGCTGATCTGCGCGGCACGTGCAGCACGTAAATTATATAACGTAACCGGTCATTCACGTGCACCTGACTCGTGCCTTTACCTTACATAAGAAACCACTTGAACTTGTGCCATGGCATGTGCGAACTCTAACAGCTGAAAGTTCGATGACTGATGCCATGTTTACACGACATTGGACGAATGTTCGACCGGTTGAAACTTCGTGCTTCCGGAACCAGCTTAACCGGACGAAAATTTTAGCCTTCGTAGCTGTTGCGTAGCTGGCGAAACGCTGGCGGGATAGCTGGCAGGCAACCTCGTCCCCAGGGCTTTCCCTTTTCCCTTTTCCCATTTTTTTCAGGGAAAAGCTCTGGGGACGAGGTTGGCTGGCAGGATGGGATATACGGTAAAAATTCCGAAAATAAGCCCAGGGGCTTATAGTTTTCAAAGGCCCTTTTTGAGGGGCTTATGTACGGAGGGAAATTTACGTTTCAAAATCGATTGGGCTAGCCTTATTTTTGGAAAGAAATTTACTGTTTTTCCTTGTCTTACTTTGTACTACAGGACAATTTCCAAGTACAAGCCCCCGGGCCGCGGGCCGGGGGGGAGGGGGGGGGGGGCTTATATTTGGGGGGGCGATTTAACGAGGGGTTTTTTGCGTTACGAGTCTGGGGGGCTTATATTTGGAGGGGCTTATTTTCGGAATTTTACGGTATGCTACGGGGGGGTTACTTTATTGGCGGAACGGTCCCGACTGAGCCAAGTGCCGGCGGTAAGATTTTCCAACCGGTCGAAAATACGTCCAGTGCCGTGTGAACTGGCCTGAGTTTTAAAATAACCTTATTAAGGCTGGTTTTAGCCTGCGAAAACATCCGTTTCTCCTCGTTCTTCGCCGGTTTTCACTAGCGACGGAGTCGGAGTCGGAGTCGTAAGAGCGGCTTATGACCTAGTGAAAATCAAAAATCGGAGTCGTAAGCGGCGTCATAAGCGCAACGGAATCGGAATCAGAAGAATCAGAACGTTTCCATTTCTTTCGATTCGGCTTACGACTTTCCCATCCTTGATTTGGGGGGCGGGGGGAGGGGCGTCTAGGGTTTCCATTCAGTATTTTGTCCAAGATTGTAGACGAGGTGGGCAGAGAGGAAAGGTCACAGCAGTCATGATAACAGATGATATTGTAAAGTAACCTAACTAAACTATGAGGATAAATAAGAATTACAGAAAAACAAGCTAAAGTTACAAAATATACAGTCTTACAGAATGATATTACAAGACGAATTTACTACTAACAGAACCTATCAATTTAATTATTAGAGCATTGCATCAAGGCTGCAGAATTTGCTATTTTTTGTAGGAGAATCAGGCACTTCAACATAATCGTCCTCCGCTTATATATCGAGAGCAAAAAGTCATGAAAATTTTTTTTAAAAGCTCGTTTGGAAAGTTGACGAAATTCGTTAGGAATTGCGTTCCAAAGTTTAGATCCAAACCTGGAAAAAGAATCTTGATTTAGATTCAGTCTTGAAGTTTGGACATTATAATTTCTGCCCGAAAAAAACCTGGTCTCATGCTTGTGCTTTGAATTATCTTTAGCGAGGAAATCACAGATCTTAGATGGAGCATTCATGCATGAGGAGAAGTCAAACATTATAGAAGATACTTTTTCAGCATATAACATTTGTAAGAGTAGAATTTTTGCGGAAATAAATAAAGGCACAGGATGGGCTCTGTGTTTGGAAAAATACATCAAACGAAGGACTCTTTTTTGAAGCAGGAGAATTTTTTGTAAATATATATATGTGGGTTTTGGCAGTTTGACCCCAACCCGCCAAACCATATATCAAATAAGGCAATATCAATGATTGATAAATATTTAAAAGTGTTGTTCGTGGGACGAAGTGCCTAAGACAGGCAACAAAACCAACAGTTCTGCTTATTTTTAATGCAGCATTGTTAATATCAAATTTCCAGCTTAAATTGCTGTCCAGTAGGACGCCAAGATATTTAACGTGGTGTTAACACTGAAGCGTGGTAGGAATTTGAGTACAGTTATCAATCATTTCAATGTTAACCGAGTAGTTCAACTTACGTATGATAATGGACGAAAGATAACATAGTTTGACTTTTTAGCATTGAGCGTGAACTTATTTGCATTGAGCCAGTCGGAGACTTTAAGCAGTTCGTTATTGACGGTTTTTTTAAAGAGATTTCAAATCAGTGTCATCATACAGCAAGTTCGTGTCACCAGCAAAGAGACAGAATGACAATTTCGCTGAAGAGTTGTGAATATCGTTAGTATAGATTAAGAATCGAATAACAGAGGACCAAACAAAAAACCAAAGACAAAACCAAGGCCGAAAAACAAGACCTTGGTCACCTGCTACAATCTGAAGTCGCCGTAAATTTATTGCTAAATATCGATTCTAAATTTCAGAGCAAAAACATTCAAGACAGTGAATTTTTATATTGCGAAAATGAAAATCCCACGGCCCCGTAAAGGTCTTAGGGATGCGAAAAAAGTCCTTAAGTAGTTAGGCCCGGTTCAGACGCCGAACTTTCCGTCAGCCGAACCCGATTAAATTTTAATTCAATTAAAAAAAATACACGAAAAGTTCGGCGGCTGAATCAATTTGGAACGCCTATTTCAATTTGTAATAGGCTCAGCCGTTCTTCCCGCCTAGTCCGACCGGGAATTTGGAATGTGGAACGACTTTGGAACGGCTTTGATTCAGACTCCGAACTTTCCATATTCCTACATGCATAAATTATAATAACGTATTTTGCAAGCAGTTTGACCAAAATGAACATTTTTCTCCTGTTGCATTTAGTTTGGCTGGAATTAAGATCGGCGTCTGAATCAATTCAGGCGGTCTGGGTCGGCCTTAATTCGAATTAGGATCGGCTCATGAAAAGTTTGGCGTCTGAACGGGGCCTTACCTTAGGGCCCATGTAACCTGTGATCAGGCGTTCTTTTTTCAGGGAAAGCGAGAAAGTCGGCGGCCACGTGCGCGTTTTCCTGAAATCTACCCACGTCAGTGGCCCATCAGTTCCAACCCATATCCTGATAAAAACTGACGAAAGCCCCCACTGCATTTGAAATGCTGCTTTTACTACTGAGAAACTGAGGATAGCATTTCTTAAGGTGCGACAACTGTTGGTGTCTCCGGTATTTCCTATTTCGGATTGGTTCAAATTCCTTAGCTCATAGCCAGCTGTCCAGGCCCCCACGCAGCGTTTTTCAAGTGCGGGGGCCGCTAGGAGTGGAAGGGGGGAGGTGGTCCGAGGATTTCTTTGCGCCGGTTCAAATAATTCTAACTCTTAGGAGAATTCTACGATTAACAGATTTCTTCAAGTAAAAAACGAATGGATATTATCGCCGAAAATTAAAGCTGATCGAAGTGTGGTTACTTATTTTCGAGACTCAGCTTGAAATTCCGGCCGCTATTTTCGGGCTTCCCAGCATATACATGCCGATTGAATTCAAGTGCCTCTTAGTTAGTTTGAATTTCAGACAATTAAGACTCAGGGAGTAAAAACGACTCGAATTAATCCTCTGAAATTCAGGCTACATTTTTAACAGTCTGCTTCACAGCTGTTCTTGGTGTCGTCACACAGCCCTCCTCCCTACAAACTGTGGTCCTCCGAGGTTCCACCCGTCCGCGGGCCCTGCTAACCCTGATTTGATAACCCAAACCAAACAAACTATTAGCCTATCACTGCTCAGGTTTTCGTTCACGTGACTAGCTAATTTGGCTCCAAGAGTCCTTGAGTGATGGCGAGGTGATTTCGGTAATGAAAATGATCGACTGCCACACGTTCTTAGTGCTTCGGGGAGCATTGCGTGATAAGCCAAAAGAACGTTTGCGAGGGAGGCTAACAAAACTGACTTAAATACAGTCGACTCCCGAAAACTCGAATCTTCAAGGGAAATCGAAAAAAGTTCGAATTACCCGGAGCTCGAAGAAAATAGCCGGAGGTAAGGTAAAAAACAGTTTTTACTGCACAGTGAACATTTTAATCACATCTTATTGTAGAAATGTTCTGTGGATATTGAAAGATCTTTAGATTATAAATCAGAACGTAGCGTAACAAAACATTGCCTAAATAGAGCATGCGTTTTACTGTTTTGAGAAGTAAAGCTGTTTCACGTCAGATTTGTGACAAACAACATCAGCCTCCACTAGCGTCAATGGGACTTCAAAATCAAATGTTTCCGATGCCAGTACACTGTTTTTTCCCTACATTTTTTAGCTCTCAAAACATGGTTGGAGTTATCGATGGTAAAACTATATAAAAATGATCTGAGGGGAAACAAAAATTAATTCGTGTTAGAGGGAGGTTCGAGTTATCGGGAGTCAACTGTAATTCACTAGGACCTGGCACCTGTGTTAGTTATATTGACTCCCTCTACGCATTGAATATTGTCCCGAAATAAAGGTGAATCAGCAGTACATGGCATGGGATCTGGAAGGTAAATATAGCCTTGAAAAATTTAAATAACCAGAATCGTCGACAAATTCCCGTGAGATAAAGCTTTAAATATGTACATTTTATTTTGAACGACTAGTCAAAATCAAAATGGATAACAATAACTGTACAACGTAGATGGAAGCGATAAAATATAGTGGTTACATGCCTAATATCATTTCTTTAAACTATTTACATTATCAATAGAATATTAACGTAAGCAGGGTCCCCCTCTATGTCGGAGATCTGAACTTATCCATTCAATAATAAGAACATACTACCTCGAACTGTCTGAGAATTACATCTAAAAAATTAGACATTTAAGGATAAAACGCAGAGGAAAAGCACCGGCCATTAAAAGGAAGCCACAAGTGCTACCAACTCTTTGGCGTCGAATGAGGGACTTGACGCCTCGTTAGAACATGTCAAGAAATATCGGATCAGTTTAGATTTCTGGGAACCTGTCCACCTACCCCTCCCCTAAGTGAACCTTAACACTTACTTCTCACTTAGGGCAAAATGTTGGGTTAGGGGAGGGGTAGGGTCCGAAATATCATTGCTACATTTAAAGAGGCTGTGTCACATTCGTTATGTGGCTGTGATTTGAAATATTTTTTCTTTACCAACTTGACAAGAGCCTTTAATAAAAGCCTTTTTGCTAAATATACATTTTCATTGTGTTCTCAGGCTCTTAAAGGGTTTTTCAAGAATTGTCTTTGCACTGTTTTACTTGACACAATATTTCAATTAGTTTTCTGGGAAACTGCCCACCTACCCCTCCCCTAAGCTAACCGTTAGAATCCTAAATTGATCCAAAAAGATCCCATATTGATATTTTTATGTCAATGACTGGCAACACCCTCTTTGGTTTATTGCTGCTGTACCAGCTTCTCAAAAGTAAGACGGTCCGTTCTAGAAGATGCAAGCAGTTTGTAGCCTCTTTACCGCATACTTTTTCATATTGCAACACCTTCAAGGAACCTCACGTATTACGCGTTTTGAAAATCCAAAGAAACGATATCACGGTGTTACTCAGACTTGTTTTGAGATACTTGACAGGAACGTTCTTCTGAAAGATTACGACATGACCACTCCATTTCCTGTACAAAAAATAAAAAGAACAGTCGTATTCTCCTGTTTGTGTTCATTTATTAACCCTTTAAGCCCCAATATCAACATAAAAATTCTCCACACCGATCTCTACACATCTCCTTGAAAAACCAGTTGAGAGAATTTGTGTTAAGATCAAAGCATTTTCACTGAAGTGATTTTATTAATTCTCATAACCCAGTCTCTTGATCATGTATAGATATCGTTAGGAGAAAATTGATGTTGGTCACTCTTGGGTTTAATTTTAAAGGGTTAAAACAGTGCTTATTTGATGGTAGTGTACGTACCATTTGAAATTACTGACAGGGGCAAATTTTCTTTCTTGGCGTACGAGAAAGCCTCTTCAGGATTAAATCTCTTCTTTCCAGACATCTGATCGACCCTTTCCTCCAGTTTTTTGATAGTTCTCTTCTGTTTCTCACATTGGTCTCGGAGTTTCGCGAGCTCCTGTGAGGATAAAACAACTTTAAAGTTGAGACAGTTCGGAGATACTCGGCTTATTTTCTCCTTCTGGCAATATAGCTTTTACCCCATGCTTTGCCACTTGGTCTACATTTCGTCGATCCTATTATTTCTCTCTATCTCATTCCTTATTATTCTTATACATATATAGCAATCAAATGTACTCTGGAACAGGAGCCTTTCCCTCCTTCCTCGCTCCACTCCCCTGATTTAACTCGTCACATGCACAAACCAAGATGGCGGCTGTACGGTCGAACATGACCGCGAAATGGTTTTCGTCATCACGATTGCTTGGCTAAATACCAATTTTGTCTATGTTCTTACAACCAACAAAATGCTTGAAACTAATAAGCCTTATTTATATCGTTAGGATGTTATGTTTCGGTTTGAAGGTCACTAGTCAGGCTCCTCTCCTACTCGTTTTCCGGAGGGAGAGGTAGGACCCTGGGAACAAGGCAGACGTTTGGTTATTGGCTCTTGCTGAGTACCACCATGTTCAATCTGGGAACATGTCCCCTTTTTAAAGTAACTTTCTTCCGCTTTTCTCGAAAAAAAAAAAAGTCATTTTCTCAGAGTTTGACGTCTCTTTATCTCAAGCAAACGAGAGCGAGTGGCGATGCGTCCCAGTCGCGAGTGACTTCTGGTGGTATCCCCAGATAAGAAGCTTACTCTCGGTTTGCAGGCTACTATTCGGTTAAAAAATTGTTTTCACGTCTTCCTAAGTCAACTAAAATTCGTGGTTAGCTACTGGATACGAATCTGTCGAATGCCAACACTTTCGGCCTCGAACATAATTACAATAGCCACTGAGTGACTTTTCCGCACTTCTTTCCATGTCCCGCCACAATTGCATCTGGATACTTACGTTTTTTAGAGAAATGTTTTCTTCCTTCAACTTCACAACATGGTGAATTTTCTGTTTCTTGTTCTGATGGCCCAATAACTTGGCGTATTGCTGTCCTAACTTGGCAACCTACGGTCAGGAAAAAAGCACAACAGATGATGAAGGCTAATGACCTGATCCTCTCCCATTTTAGATTACGAGCAGTCCCTCTTTGTTCTTAGTCCGTCGAGTGAAAAGCGCGAGACTCTCTCCTCACTACATTTGAACAAAAAGAGCGGAGACTGCTCGCAGTCTACTACCATTTGAACCCCTACTAGGTAGGATAGAAGATGGAGCTCCTTTAGACTGTAAAGCAGGCGTATTTTGCAATACGAACGATGATACGATAAATGTTCTCCAACCATCTGGAAGGTTGAAACCCACGGAGAGGGGGGACTCCCGTATGAAAGGGGCGGGGATGCTCGTGGGAAATTTTGAATTAAACCCCTAAAGGAGACCAATCTGGGCGTGGCTCAACCTTTTTTTGACCCCTAAAAGAGACCATTTTTTAAAAAACACAGACAAATAACAAATACAGCGACTTTCAATGATGGCTAAGACATAACCATCGAATACTTTTACCCATACATTATTTTAACCCTAAAAGAGACCTTTCCGGCTAAATATAATGGCGTTTTGCCCAGAACACCCTAAGTGTGACCAAAATCCGAAAATTACACCCCTAAACGAGATGACAAGCATCCCCGCCTCTTTCATATGGGAGTCTCCCTCGGGGTTGAAACTGACAGAGAGTTAGGGCGAGTCAAAACAATAATGATGGCAGCCGCGATCAATGCACCTCTCTGCTTTCGTTGAAAAAAAAAAATAGGGCATCCAATGCCAAGGGGCCGAAAAGATCCACAATCATTGTGTGTCGCCTTTGTCATTTTCTTGCTCTGTACAAAAGTAATCGCATGAAGATATGTATGTTCTCTTTCAATAGAGTGCAGCTTCAAAGCTTTACCTCATCCTTAGCTTGGCTATTTTGAGAAAGAAGTGCGTTCCTTTCAGCTTCGTATTCATCCAGTTGATCCTGAAACCGTGATATACAAGTATCAATTTTGGGAAAGTAAATATTGAACTTTGCTGAGTGTTGGCTTTTTAAGCGTTGTCGCTAAGAAATCATTAGTTACAGAGCCGTTTAATGCTTGGGGCGCAACGCGAGACACGGAATTTTCTATCCTCTTGAGCTCGAGATCTCCAAAGTTTGCTCACCACGGCGGCCTCTTGAAATCGGGAATTGCACGCACAAACTGACTGCCTACAAACAACGTTCCATGTCTCGTTTCGCTTGAGTACAGCCAACTTTCGCCTTACGTTCACCTAGCTAAAAATAATGGACATCCCGATAATACGGCCATTAGGCAAATCCCAAGCAAAAATAGATAAAAGACATTAGAGATAATCTCACGCTATTATGGACTCTAGATGCCACGGACATAAACCGGGACTCCCTTTTCGATCACGACATCCCAATTTTATTGTTCGAACTCTCGTTATAATGGACAACGCGTGGTACCTGTGAGCACGTTGCCAGGAGTAAGACCTCTTGTAAACGACCACTAAATCTTCGCACCTTAGGAGGTCGCTTACGGGGCATTCGACAGTATTTTTTTACGGGAATAAAAGATAACTAACTGCATGACATAAGAGATTTTTAAACGGACCTTAAAGGGCTCAATCTTTTTCCAAAGCTCTTCGTACTTAGTCTGCCACCTGAAAAATTAAAACAAATATGTAAATCCTCTCTTTAAGACTTTTCCCCCATGAAGAAAGAAAAGGCGAACGATGTTCCCATTTTTTCGTCGTACATAGTTTTCACAACAAATGAATACACTGCAGACATCACTCACATTTTAATCTGCGCTTTGTATTCATTTAACTGGTCGTCATTGCTGGCTTGGCTGAAAAAGAAAAAAAAACATCAAACGTGCATAAGGAACAGTTTTCGTAGTTCTTTAAAAGGAGGCTTTTGCCTCAACATTTGCTCTGTTTCTGCTAACCAGAAAAAGTGCCCCCTTACAAGTAACAAGTCTTTCTTACTTGTGCTTATATTCAGAGGTGGTGTTTTATTTTTCCAAGTAAAAAGGTACTTTTATCAATAATCTCTCTGGTTCTTATTCCAAAATATCTCCTGACAATCTGATTGACGGGAAGACTTATTTTCTTGGAAATGTGAGCCACTGATCGTTGGCAATAACAGAGGCAAGCGCTTGGACATTTTTTCCGCTAGGACATGTTCGTTTAGCACCCTACACCATGAAGCGCCTTTAAGAGACTCTGTCACTACGGTGAATCTTATCTTCGGCGAGAATTACTATGGCCACGCCCTTAATAAAGTAAGTGTGTCAGTTGATGGGGCAAAAAAGAAAAGTGTAGGTTATAGCTTAGCGCGAGATCATGCATGCAATTAAAAAAAACTACGAAACTTCTTTGGATGTTTAAACCACTTTTAACTAAAGGTAAATATAAAAGGTAGTCATGATTATTGGAAGTAAAAGAGTATTCCAAGGAAACTGAATTTGTTTTCACAGAAGAAAGGATGTTGTGGACTTTTAATCAAAGGAAATTCTTTTTTCTGTTATTTTTTAAAAAAATGGGTCGGTGGACGAAGGCAGACGAAAAACCTAAGCAAATATAAAATATAGCCTCCTAAGTCCTTAATTTGTTAACACGTTCCCTTACAAGGGCATTGCAATTACTCTTGGTAACCAAGGGCTGGCAATAAAGTTATTTAGGCAATAGCTCTTATAACCTTACCCCCAATATTGAATGAAAAACAAAAAAAACGCATAATATTGGCTGGTACTTCTTCTGCGTTTGTTAATTTTGTCTTTCCTTCGTAAATTTCCAAGGGGGCTTTCGACATAAGTCGGAAGTGCTTGTGAAAATGGTAGCCAAGGTATGAAACAATTTGGTGTCCTAATGTCGTAATCTCAAATTGCTTACACTGCTAAGAATTGGAAACCAGCCGCCCTTGTCAGCCTTACCTGGATAATTCCGCCTTCAGTCTATTGAATTCCTCTTCTGCAGCAAATATCTTCCTAAAGTGAAACAGAAGTTACACACGATTTTGCTGCGACACTGTGACAAGTTGCACGAATAAAGTCAAGTTCTATTTTAATTTTGCAATGATTACGAAAATGTTGTAATTACAATGTTTTTTCTAACGCCTTGCAACAAAAATTGCAAGTGACCAATGATATGGAGAAATGCGTACAAATGTTCTACTGGACGACATTGTACACGCAAGGAAAACGTTCAATTATAGACGTTAGGCGCGATACCAAGTGCCGGTATATAGTCCTGAAAACAATAGCAATACAATTATAACAGAGAGGATTTTCAGTGAATGTCATAATTCGCCGTTTGCACATCTCCCATAATACACCTTGCTTGCTCCCAAAAGTTTGCATAATATATATTGTCTTCGGTTTCTCTCGGGACGACTGTTATATAAAGCAAAGGTTATGCAAAATTTAGGAGGGCAATCAAAGTGTATTATGGCAGATGTGCAAATGTCGAATAGCAAACCAAAGTAGTTGTGTTCGCCAATCACACAGCCGTAGCCAGTTGCACTTCCTTAAAAGGCAACCGTGAGAACAAAAGTGAGACTGGGTAAAAATGTCTGTTCACCATTTTCACACAGACCAAAATGTACCTTGTTTATCTCCCCCCCCCCAAAAAAAACATAACCATTGTTTTCAATTTCTCCCGGGTAGTCGTCCAAGAGAAATGGAAGACAATGGTTATGCAAATTTCTTGTCTTGTTTTTTCCTTTTTTTTTTGGGGAGGGAGGGAGGGGTTGGGCACAGTATAGTGAAGTCTATGTGAAAATGGTAAATAAATGGGTGTAAAGGGGATATGTCAAGATTATTTTCACATTTTGAGTCATAGTCTATCAAACCTGAGCTGAAATTATTCGAAGAATTCATAATTTATTTACAATGGTATAGAAATATTTAAAAAAAAACAAACAAAACCATCAACTTTGGATTTCTTGATTCCAAATTAGCCTGAGAAAACAGACGACATTTGGCGCGGCGAGGCCACCACAGGTTTCCCTCGAAATGACGTCCGAGAAACGAGCGCAGAAATTTCATACTGATGACGCGTCACAAAACAAACAAACAAACAAACAAACAAACAAAGAAGAGAATAGAAGACAACAACGTTACTACTGATGCCCACCTTTCCATTTCCTTGTTCTTCTCATTCATTAACATTTCTTGTTCGCTCCTGAATCTAGTTTCAAAAGGAAAGAAAGTCGTCATGTTATGCAAGAAAAATCGACAATATCTGTACGGACCTGCATTCTACTTACTTGTCGAAATTTATTTCTGTTTGCGATAGCTTCTTTTGAGTCTCCACCAGGCGCCTTCATGGGAGAAATAAGATGGCATATTAACGGAATAGGCCTTTTTCTATCCCCTATGAGTAGGGTACTAAATCAAAAGACTTTTGTACAGGGAACTGAGATTCGCCCCGACTAAGGTCCAAACCCTTACACCATGCTTGCACTTAACATACCCCTTGGTCCAGAAATACTTTCAATGGGAATGGCACCCCTCATGATCTAACTACAGAAATGTTTTAGCTGTCAACCGTTAGGTGTGTCACGTTCGAGATACTAAGATACCCGTTTGAAAAATCCCTCATTTTCCTTTCTATAACCCAACCCGTGAAATCCTTAGGCTACAATTTTATGTACCTCCAAACCTACCATAAAGTTCCGAAAGTAAAGACCCTCGTTACTTTCGGATTTAGCAGCCTTTTCCTATCGCTAAAACGTGTATCGTACGTGGGCCGTACGAAGTTACGATTATATCACCACAATTGTGACTTTGGGAACTTTACGGTGGTACAGTCGAAGCGTTCGTAAGCGACCACCTCGGAAATTCGAAAAAGTGGTCATAACTAGAGCTGGTCGCTTACTACAATGAGCTCTCGTAAGTGACCGTATGGTAAAACAATAGAGGGTGGTCGCTTACCAGAGCTTCAGAAACTCATTAATAATTCATAAAGAAAAACAGATGAAATTTATTTTTAATGAGCGTCTTTATATCTCAACTTAATTGAACTTTCGCAAATATAAATACTGCACTGTACAAGATCTTTATCAACGAACCATTAGCGCAGTGTGCAGTTTCATGAAAGTGTTGATTATTATGAATAACACCCTGAGTGGTTACTTACGAGAGCTTAAAAACAAAGGAAAAGTCCAGTTGAGAGAGCTTTTCATTACAAAGTATGAGTCACACCCGGGGGGTACTGCCATATATGGGCTATATAGGTATGTGCCGCTTTGAAGGGTATGGTTTTCAAGCACTTTACTCTAGGATAGGGTATATAAATCACAGAGTTTGGGTCTAGAATAGGGTATCATTTTTTCAGGAAACTGATCAGTTGGTTGAAGATTTTATCTAGACTAGGGAAACAGCTACTCTAGGATAGGGGGGATTTGGGGAGTTTACTCTAGTATAGGGTAGCAAAATTCAGCTGAACTAGCTCTGGTATAGGTTAAGGGTTCTAGGGTCCCAGCGGCACATCCCCACCCAGAAATTCCCAAAGTACCCCCCCCCCGGGGAGTCACAGTTCAAACGAGGTTCTACAAAAGTGATCGTAACCAGAGTGGTCGCAAGGAGAACTTCGACTGTACCCCTTTTGGTCGGGGGATCCCCGTAGGGTCCATAAGAAAAAGTGCCCTATTTACGAGAAAAAAAAGTCACGACTACCGTAACCTGCGACCAAACGTTCTAATTATGGCGAGCGAAGCAAACCGCGAGAGAACGCACGCGCGAGCGTTGAAAGCTCTCCTGTCTTTCCCCACCCCTAGTACACGCGGCTCCTTTCGCGTGCGGCTCTTGCGTGACTTCTCGCGACTCCCTCAAATGGTGAGCTTGCTCGTAGGCTACGACTACCGACGCAACGACGGATCCCTGTCAGTAGGAAACTTCTCCTCAACTCTACGTTTTATTATTAACAGACGTCCAACTAACCTTCCAAACTCTTCTTTAGATTTGGTAGCTTTATCTTCATATAATTTTATTTGCCTAAAACAGAATTACCACATGATATTTAATTCATACCTATGTCAATGTCTACCTTCTACGCATTCTTACTTTTTCTTCTACGCGGCTTACGCACTCTTTTTTATAAGAACAATTTTTAAAAGAACGTCCAACCAGGCCAAAAAAAAAATCATAAAGACAGAAAAAAAGAACATGCTAAGAACATACCGGAGGAACTTTTTTTCTCACTGCTTTTACTTTCCAAAATCCAGAAAATTTAAATTATATAATGTCCTACATGGAATCAGAGCGCACTAAAATTTCGTTCTGTCAACACATTCCTAATGGGTATGGTCAATATTTACATTTACATTGTACTTGTACAATTCACTAACGTGAAAACTACAATCATTGTGTTATCTTGTCTATATCAATATGTAGCTTAAAAGTTATCAGATTTCCTTCATACTCCCCGGAAAACAAGAATGGTCCAGGCTCAACTCGAAAATAGGCGTTCTAATAAGCACGAAAGAGTAGTATACGCTTAGAGATGTGCTCTCGAATCCGTCGTGGGCGTTTCTCTACAATGTACCTTTCACGGCATCTTACCTTGTAAAGTTCTCTTCGGTTTCCTTTAATTTTTCTTCTAATGCAGTGGCTTCCGAATGATATCTAACATAAAAATGTGCATTAATAAGCAAATCTCTTCTGAAGAGCTCTAGCTGTGTTGGGAGGGGCAGATCAAGAAAATTCAGAAAGAGGGGGCCAAGGATTACTGTGCCCCAAAACCAAATAGATACTATTTATTTATTTAAAACAAATCTCTAAGAGAATTAACCTATGCACAGAATGCAAGGCCCCGGAAGACACACGCTGAGAAAATTATACAGAATACCCCAAAATTTCAGTTTTCTACCGCTCTACTATCTGAGCGCCTGTAACAAGCTATTTTGTGAGTAATTTGCATCGAAATTATCCTGCCTTCGAGCAACCTCTCTAGGGACGGAGCGCGGCCTACGCGGGTCGAAAAAAAAACGAGGGTCGACTGGGGCGCCTGGTTTTTTTCTTTCGTCGTTAATTGTTTGCGCGTGCTCTCCTGTCTGAACGCCTGGAACAGGCTACACACAAAAAAAAAACGACACACACCTGCCTACTTCTTCCTTTAATTTCCTTTCATTTTCTTTGGTTTGGCTTATTACCCTAAAGGAAATTCGTTAGAAATCAGTCACACGCGCCCACAAAACAGCCGATATGAAAGCAAATATTGCAGCCAGTTTACTGCAGATATACCTGTGGTAAGTTATCGTATCTTACCTGTCCAGTTGCTCTTTAAGTTCTTCCAATTCCTCATTTCGTTGTTCTCGAACGCTATTTATGACAAAAACAAATTAAAGGGGCGAATAAAAAGAACGAACTACCACTAAACTGAGTACATTTCGCATGAATCTGACTTTTGAAAAGTTCAAAGTGGACCAATTTCTAAATGTTAAGAACTTCAACTACTACTAACAACTAAAAAAAACACACCTCAGTTTTGAATTTGTCTTGAACAAACCTTAGTGTGTGTTGTAACTCTTTAGTTATGTCCTCTTCTTTCTGATGAAGTTCATTAATTGTCTTGTGAGCCTGGTGGAGAATGCACAACATAAAGTAATCAAGTTAAAGGAAGTTAAAAGCTACCAGCTGTTTCACATGGGCAACGTAGTCGATCGCTTGTTGCATACATTTTAAAACAGTCTTTCAGTTTCAGTTTCGAAGACCAAAAACTGGCGGCAAATTATAAAAACAAATAAAAGAATGGGATCGTAGAGGTATATTTGGAACTTACCTCTTCGAGTGAACTCCTGAGAGAATCTTTGGTAAATTCCGTTTCCTCTAACTGTTTTGCCATTTTCTCTCTAATGGCTTTAACTTCAGCCTAAAACAAACAAGCAAACGACAACATCAAACACAAACATTCAGACACTTGAAACGGAGTATCAAAATACTCATGCCAAGTAAATTATAGATTAACACCCCGTGTACACGGCCAGGACAATTTTTGAAGGGGCAAAAACTTGTGAGGTTCCGCCTGTTGTTTACACGGGACCCGTGGAACCGTGAAAGTTTATGAACGGCAAACAGTACTGCAAGCTGTAACAGAATTTGCACTGTCCCGTGTAAACGGGTTGAACAGGCAAAAAATACATCCGTTCGAAATGTCCGGACCCGTGTGAAAGGGATGTAAGATGTAAATTCTGAGGCTAACAAATGAAGGACACTTTTCTAAGTTTGACCTGAGCTGTTGCAAGTTCTTGTTGACACTGCGATAGTTGATCTTTCATGAAGTCTTTTTCAGCCTAAAAAAGAAGACAAAAAAAATCATCTCACAAGATGGGAAAGAGTCTTGAGCGAGGTGTTCGGGATTTATGGTGACAGGGAGGTGCAAAGGATTTTTTTTTATCGGGTTTTGAATTCGAGTTTCTTTTATGAAAGAATTTTGGCGGTCTTTTAGGGTAGGTTGACTTTTCTAGGGACACGTTTTGGTATTCAAAAAATTAGATGGCTTACGTCACAGGCGAAACTAAACCTCTGTTCGGGGTAAGATTACATCTACATCACAGGCTAAACAAGATTCGAAGGATTCGTGGTCAAAAAAAGTAATGGTGGTACGTCACGCTACGTAGTTTACGCCAGACGGCTGTAAAAAGTACCCCCGAATCTTCTTGAAGACAGCAAAATATTTCGCCTGTTTTTACATTAAATTGGGAGGACTGTAAGGCGGGTCCTGGACCCAGGTGCATGAAAGGTGGATAAATCTTTATCCAGTGCCGGGATAACGCTATTTTTTCCCCTAGTCTAATACTTATACTAATACCTATGGATGGTGATATATTCATTGGATAGCGTTATCCAAAGTTTGCGCATTTGGGGCCAGGAAAGTTCATTTTTGTTACCTTAGAGCTCCCTAGTTGTTGATTGAGTTGGTCACATTCTTCTTCAAGTTTTTCGCTTTGTTGTTTAAGCAACATGCAAGTGTTTTGTTGCTGGTCACTTTCCTGCCGGCTTTACAATTGAGATATAAAACATGTTAATTAAAGAAAGCAGACAAGGATCCTAAAGGCGATGTTACACGGGACGATTCGCAACGACGATATTTGGCGCAACACAGCGTTGCAACACTGGTGCGACATTGTTTTGAATGGTTGCAACATTGTTCCAACATTGCTACGCTGTGTTGCGCTCAAAATCGTCGCTGCGAATCGTCCCGTGTAACATTACCTTTACGCGTCTTTCAGGCGAGAAAAATAAAAATAAATCAGTAAAAATGTGTTTCTTACAATCTTACAATTATACGGCTAGCGGTTGATATTTTTATATTTTATGCATCTAAAATGTTTGGCCGTTTTATGGTAAAAGGGTAAGGCCCATTTTAAACGTCGAACTTCACACATGCAACGCAATGGATTTTCGTCGTTAGTATTAAATTCGCAAATATTGGAAACTGGCCAAATTCGGCGGTAAAGCTCTGCGATGGCCCCAGTTGCAGGCGGCGCATGTTCTCTTTCGTCCGAAAAGTAGCCCAGGCGGTACCGGCGTCTACGTCACAGATACATCGGTGGCATATAAGAACCAGGCTTCAAGGGAATGCAAGAAAGTCTTGAGTTCTGGATTTCGGATTCCAATCGTTTCCTTGAGCTGAATTCCCGATTCCAAAAACCAGGATTCCAGATACTCTTCCATGGGGCGACCCCTTTGTTTTTTTCAGCAACTCAGCTTAAGTATACTTGGGTTTTACGACACATTTTTGGCAGGCTGACAATCTCCCTTGTGGAAATAATTCTAAAAATGTTACAGAATACTAGGCTGACCTTTTCTGTAGACAATCTTTTGTAACTTCCAACTCTGCTAAGATCAGCTGCTTCTCCTTCTCTGCTTCCGACTGAAAGAATGCTAGAATTTAGAAAAAAAATGTGTAGTACACTCTTATACTGCTCGATCTTCCAAATATAGTAAGCGGTAGTTGATAATACAGAATTAGCCGGGGATTGAAGTCGATCAGTAACAGCGAAATATTTTGAATGAATAACAATCACGCTTGAGAAAATTCAGAGGGAGGTTGCAGTCAGTGGAAACTGAATAGGGGTATACCTTCTCTCCAGTTTCCCTTCGGCCCTCATAAACCGATTTTCTGGCGTTCATTACTAACTTGCTTGAATTCCACAAAAAGCCAAGATCTCCGTATACGTACTACATGTATTTGTATGGCAGGTTGAATCTAGTTTGATTGTACTTCGCATGAACAGACGCTACAAGATGCTACACTTCTGGAGCATAGAAAAAAAAAACCGGTGTAACAACACCAGGACAAGAAGTCGAAAAAGTAGAAATGGAGTGTAGACTATCGATTCCCACTGTACAGCCTGCAAGCATCCACTGGGAATCGTGATGGATCATCACGCTTGTTCCACGCGAGATTGGTGGGAGTAACCTATAAAAGTGATTCCAAACGAAAAGCCCGCTTGCAGGAAGCCTACTGCATCGCATTGCAGTTGTTTTTACTCACAGTAGGAATCCTCCAGATCTTGATATTTCCCTGTCAACGATCTTAAATTTTGCGTCAATGTCTCTTCGCACCTAAAAAAAAAGATATTTCCACAAACATGCAAGGAATGTAGAAAAGAGCCAACTTCGTTCCCACGGCGTTTTCCCGGAACGAGGTTGTGGGAGCTCTACCAAGCCAAATCTTAAGTGCATTCATTTTTATCGTGCAATAGCAGCATATCCTTTTTTTCCACAATGTTGTTTTTTTTCTACCGTTGCAGTTACTTGTTAGTTAAGCCTGTTTCAGGAGATAAGCGAAAAGAAGAGAGCCCATCTCATCCAATATAAATATACGTTATGATTTAGTAAAAACGGGTTCCGCAGATCCTGCTTACGACTCCGTCAAACTAGACCAATCACGACGCAAGGATACGAGCATTGCGATTTGTTTATCCTTCTACTTCTGCTCCGACTTCGACAGTCTGATTTTCACTAGATCACAAGCGACGGAACGGAAACGTTCTGATTCTTGCCACTCCAATTCCGCTGAGATTCTGCCCTTACGGCGCTAGCTGTCTGCAAATCCTTTCTCGGTGGAAAGAGCCATGCGCCGAACAAACTATTTCATTTACACTTAAGGGTTTGCCAGGCTAAGTATTAACATTCATCTACCAAAATAAAGGCTTTTGGAAAGTCTTGAAAAGCATGTAAATGTTTAGGAGTATACCTTTTAAGCTCTTCTTGAAGTGACTCGACCTGGTCGTTGGCGATAGAAAGGCGCTGTTCATAATCAGTCTCGCATTCTTCAAGTCTGCTTTCAAGGGATAATTTTTCTACGGATAAACATCTGAAATTAAAGAACAGAAGACATGGAAATTGGCTCAGCATTTTTAAATAACCCTTGTCCAACTCTCGACTTCAGCAATGCAAAGTGATTAATCATGGGTTCAATATAATATTTCTGCTCCTGCGGCATTTCTCCCCATCCTCGACTCGACCGCCTCTCTGAGAAAAAGTCTACCTCGACCTGAGAAACAATTAAAGTATTCACCGTTGTGCAGAACGTCATAGGTTCAATTCCTGTCAGATTTTTCTCTGTCCCGTGTTCGTGACATGATTATCACATCTTTTTTCGTTTCTTCACCGACCTTACGGCCATCACTCTTTATTTAACACACACACAACGCTTTCGACATTGTTGGTCCTCGCAGTACGCATGCATATATCAACCTTGTATATGGCCTAGCATACCGCGAGTACTTCGTAGCTCAGTGGGTAGAGCATCCGAGCGGTGTTGTGGAATGTCACAGGTTCCGAATTCCTGTCGGGACTCAGATTTATTTGTCCCGCGCTCGTGACGTGATGATCACATCTTTTCTCATTTCTTCACTGAGTTTAAAATTTACCATCATTCTTTTCTATTTTGTCTATGTACCTATACGGAACGTTAAAGAAGGCTTGTAACCTATCAGACCAACAGCGCTAACTACATAATGCTATATTTGCCAGCACCTCGCTCTTTCTTCTGCAGACTGTTCTTTCTCAATCATCTCCAAAAGTTTATTCTCTAAATCCTGATTTTTGCTTTCAAAGCTGTTACAAGCCTCTTGAAGCTGGATAATTCTGGACTGAGCCTCACTAAAGTTCTCTTCACTCTGCTTCAACGAACACTCGAGCTTGTAACCAAACTCTTTACTTCTCTAGGAAAAGAAAAGAAAAACATGAGGTCAAATTGCTGTTTTGAAATTGCTGTTTTTTAAATCTAGAAGATTATTGGAAACCACCGTTGTTTGTCCTTAGAGGGAGTGACATGTACGCGCAAAATAATTTAGTGAGATGCCGATTACTAGGCCATTTTGCGTTTCCCCAAGCCTCTGTTTCAAGGCGAGGCTTAGTGCAAAAATGTTTTTTTATTCTTATTCAGATAAAACTCAGACTATAAAACTCATTTTCACAAGAAAGGTTTTGCTCTTAGCCTCGATTTGAAAGTGAGTTTCTAGAACTAGGAAATGGCCTATTTAAAGCTTTTCTTTACTTATTTGTTTTAAAAAAATGGTACGGCGTTGACTCTTGAGTGATCTAAATCGAAGAAAATTGCTTTTTTGTAGACGTTTCGTAATGATCTTTGCTTGTCATGATGAGTAAGAAGACGAAACCTTTTACTTGTGAGAGGTGACAAGCGGTGGACATGAAAAACAATAAAAGAAGAAATGAAATCGCCTAGCAGAACAGAAAATCGTTGGTACTAACTGAAGTAAACAGTACTGAACATCAACAATTTTACCATCATTTCTTTGCCCAGCATTTCTTCAAGAGCATGAATCTTGTTTTGACTTTCATTAAGAGTGTTTTCCATCTTGGTACGGATTTCCTATTAATAACAACACAATATAACAAATAAATTATAATCTGATATTACATATAAACCAAAAAAACTTTATTTCCTTATAGACTAACACCCCTCTTTTCCCTAAATTCTTATGGTACTACGCATGTGTTAAACTGTCCTTTGGGATATATGAGTGCTTTCCGAGACAAGAGGCCTCCCACGCGGACGTTCTTAAGGTTTTGTTACGCGTTCCTTTCCCAAGAAAGTCGTTCGTAGGGAAGGAGCGAAGGACTTAATTGCAGTCCAATGCATTATTGCAAAACCGCTTGAAACTTTAGAAGAACACAAAGAGGGAAAAAAGAATAATAATCAAAACTACCTGAAAGGAGATGGGAAAGATTAAAACAGATTTCGTTCAGTTGGGTGAACCAGAAAAATAGTGGCCCACTTTTTAAAGTTTTCTCAACTTGTACGTTTGTTTAATAGTTAAAAGACTTGCTTTGCCAATTTGCTCATGACAAACGTTACATGTAACAAGAAAATATACAAAAACACTAGAAACATATACGTTGTAATGAATCCAATAAGTTTTAATTAGTACACCGTTTTTCAAATCACCTCTAATTTATCCTCCGTTTCTTCAAGTTTCTCTCTCAACTTAATGTTCTCACTTCTTAACTGCGCAATCAACTCTGAAGAACGAAATAAAATAGTAAAAAGCCTCAGCACGGTTAGTAACAACAGGTGGAAAAAATCAGATTATTTAATACTGAATAGACCCCTTCACAGTTTTTTTTCAACTTTTGACATGGACAAGCTGAGGAAAATAGGTCGACAGCACTGGAAAGAGCGCCTGTAAATTACATGTAGTACAACTGCCAAGTTTTAAAGTGATTCGTCTTAAGCGAGTGAAGATATAGCTCCGCGAATTTGCGAAAATTTACAGACGTTTGTATGGTGGGGGACAAGTTTGTGCCCCCACCACATTACCAAAGATATGTGGATCACCTTCAAGAAGTCCTGTCCAATTCCTGCTCCTATTTATATCGGGCCTACTGAACTGGAGAGGGTTTCAGAGTTTAAACTACTGGGTGTATATGTACAGAACGATCTCAAGTGGAATACACATGTCTCAAGTATTGTCAGCAAAGCGTGTAAACGGATCCACTATCTTAGGGTCTGTAGAACAGCCTATCTCCACAGGGACATTGGCCTTACAACTTACATCACTAAGATTAGACCTGTTTAAAATATACCTCGCCTGTCTGGGGAGGGCTGCCCATTTACCTCGAAGAAGGTTTACAGAGAGTGCAGAATAGATGTCTAAATGTCATTGGTCTCCCTAGGGATACTGTTCAGTCACTTGTAACTAGGCATCAGAATTTGACGAGGAAAGAATTTAAACGTATCCTAGAATCTGAAGCACATCCTTGCAACCGTTTTTTAGACAAGCCAGTGGATCATGGCCATAATCTAAGATCTTGTAAGACTAACCCAGCGCACCTCAGAATACCTGTATCACGCACTGTTAGGCACAAACAATCATTTATTCCATATAATATGTAGCGTTTTGAATTTTTATTGTTATATTACCTTAATTCTTATCGCCAAAGGTAATAAATAAAGGTTATTATTATTATTATACAAACGTCTGTAACATTTCGCGACTTTGAGGAGCTACATGTTCGTTAGTTTTCAAAAAATCATTCTCAAACTAGGCAGTTTTACTTATCTGCACTTAAAGGCGCTCTTTGGTGTCGATGGATTTTCCCCAACTTGTCCATGTCAAAAGTTGAAAAAAAAAAAAAACCGGAAAAGGTCTATTCCCCGAACTAAGATCATGTTTACCATGAAGTTTCTGATTTGCTTCCTCGACTTCATCTCTGTTACTTGTCACTTCTGAAACTGTTCTGTCTGTTCAGTAACAAAGGCAAATAATTCCACATTCACTCACATAAGCTCACATACTGAATAGTTGCCTGCGTGCAGACTTCTCCTATATCTTTTGCTGCACACACGGTATAGAGGAGTTTGCTTTTGGGATTGGTTTATGTAAACAATAGTCTTCGAGAAAATGTTTTTTATTCACATTATCACCGAGATCATAATGCAACTTTCTTACCACCCAAAATTTGGAAACGTAGGCTACCCAAAAATTTACATATAACCATTGTTTCCATTTCTCCTGGTGGGTATTACGTTGTCCCAAGAGAATCGAAGGCAATGGTTATGCAATTTTTCGGTGGGGGTGTGCAATTAATGGTCAATACCTAAGGAGCCCAGGGGAGCCCTAGTCTGCTACACAGCCGTTTTTAGTGTCGTCACGCAGCGTTGCGTGACGACACTAAAAACGGCTGTGTAGCAGACTAGGGGAGCCCAGGGTGGATTTGATTTTGTACAGTGCCCAGGACTCGATTGGCCGCGCATTGATCTGGCCCAATTCACTTAGGCGAAAGCCGTTTGGATTCTCCTCTTCGAGTTTCATAAATTCTGATGGATTCTTTTCGCTAGCAGGGGAAGCTTTATTGGTTTTTTAACCGTTGGAGATCGAATTTCGTGAAAACGTCGTGTTAGAGATGGAGTGGAGAGGCTTACATTTCATCGCAAGCGACTCGAGCCCACCACACCTTGTGTGATAGAAAGAATTTGAGCAGATTTCACGCACGAAAAACCATGTGAGCGTTTAGGAGTAGAACACTGCATAATAAGTTACACTGACCTTTTTTTTAAATTTTCTTTTAAGTATTTCCTACATATTTTAGGTTCGTAACTTTACCCTATGCAAACACTGCAATTGCTTGTTTGCACGTGACGTCACGGCGGCCATGTTGGTGGTGTGTTAGGGTTAAGAACAAAAGTATTTCTCTCCTCTGGAAACGAAACCCTATTTTCATGTAAATTCTTCAAGAAAAAACTATATTGCATTGACCACCAACATGGCCGCCTTGTCACGTGGTTGCAAGCCAAGAATTTTACAGGATTTCGTTCTGTAGTACATCATTGAGCCTGGGTAACCTGTGCAGATGCGCTTTGTTCACTTTCAAACCCTTCAAGTCCCAAGAGGGCGGGTACTTGGGTTAATTTTTGCTGGGTGTGTACCCCTGGCCTCTCAGAACTCCTACCCCATTATAGTCTATTCTGTTGCCAAATATAGACCACTTCTTAGTCAATTTGGGCAAATGTAATTTTTGTGATCCCAACAAAGTCACTTTCTGTTTATGCATCTACACTATAAAGTCGTTTAACTAGGTCGTCCTGAAATGAATTCACACATTGGTTCAAAATCTTCCCATTTTTAAATCTGTACCTACCTGAATTTTCTGATCCCCTAAATCCTAAAAATGCATGTACGATCCCATTCTAGTAACTCTAATAAAAATGCAACCCCATTATGGTCAATCCGGCAGTGAAAATGTGACCCCATCCACCCGCACATCCCCATTAACCTGTTAGTAGGAAGTACAACCCCACCCCCCACCCCGGTTAAGAGAACTGGTTGAATGATCACCAAAGGGAAAAAGGTTTGAATTTTTAATTTTTTCAACTAATTCTCGAAGAAAATGCATGGAGTAGACACATACGTAGACACTGGGGCTTGAAGGGTTTTATATATTGAAGATATGTGCTATTCCCAAATTCTATAACAGAAGTCTGAATTTTGAAGGAACATTACATTGACAGTTGATCTAGTTTAAGACAATGATCTTATAACAAATTTTTCAGGCCTTAAATGCCTTTGAGCAGCATTGTCTGTTACTCCATTTTTAAAATTCTCCGGGGGAGCGCCATGCCCCCTAGACTCTCCTAGAATTTGGACACCATCTATGCTACAGGAACCTCTGCCTGTGTAAGAAAACCCTTGAAGAGTTGCAATGCATCAGTAGTATGGAATTTCTTCACTCCCTTCTCAGATGTCATTTTGCAGGAAAACCATCACAAAATGTTGCCTTTTTCTCAGGCTATTGAAGAGCGTGAAACTGTGTTGTTAGAATCCAAACTTAATTTAAGGCTGGAATGCAGGTGTACATTGGGTTGTGTACATCTTTGTACATGTTACTGACAATCATTAATTTACTAACCTAGGGATGAGATTCTCTCAGTGAGAGCTTTGTTCTTCTCTTGTTCCAATTCAAGATCAGCCCTTGAATTTTCAGCTGCACAACTCACTTGCATTTTAAGAGTAGATATCACCTGAGGTTAAATTTACAGAAGATTCAATAACGAAACGTTTTTGTTAGAAATATAATAACCAAGGCATGAAATAATCGAAGGGCTCTATGTAAAAATTTCCCCTCCAAAAAGGAAATGAGGGGACAGGGGACGTTTTTGCGTGGAGCTTTTCATTGTTTATCTGAATTGTAGCTTCAGCTAAGTGACTGACTCAAACATGACATGATGTTTTTCTACACACCCAAAATACCAGGCAGCAAGAGGCTGATTACACAAGCTGGGTATGCTCACTTTGCCAAGATCATGGCATGTTAGCTAAATGCAAGAAAAATCATCCTTGGTATGGGATCCTAGTATTGAGATAAAAGTCACCTTTTAGTTGGCAAATGTAATCATGTAATCAGCATCTAAATTTTCCCAAACAAAGCATCTTTAGAATCTCTCTTAAGCAACCACCTTGCAGAAGCAGGCACCAATAATTACAGTATTTATTTTGACGTGATGCTGCTTTTAAAAGCTATTCACATGCAACTGCTCCCAGTGTATCTGCCATTTAACTTAGAGAAAGACAATAAGTGTGACAGCCACTCCAAAAGCTCAGTGTTTGATTAACTGCAAGCTTTTTCTGTACTGCTTAGATGTACTTTTAGAAAATTAGTGAAGTTTATATGCATTTGCAAGTGAATGGATTTAACTAAAAGAGAACTATGATTATATGTAATATTGACTTACCCCTTCTTTACACAGTAATTGAGACCTCACAGTTTGCAGCTCTTCCTCCAATGTTTCAAGTTTACTGCTAGCTGCTAAATAGGCCTGGTAAGAAGCACAAATGTATAGTCTTTAGTTCTTTATTTTGGACAAACAACAATGATGCTTTTAGGAATTGAAATTATCTAGCAAGGAAAAAGCTTGTTTTTATACATGTATATCTTCATGAAAACTTAATAGAACTGAAGATAGCTAGCTAGTTTATTCTATTTTATAAAATAACGTAATACAAGCATTCTGATTGGTTAAAAACCTATGGTTTATTGGGCTGGTAAACTCATAGAAAACTTAAAGTTATTTTATAAAAGCAATAGATCACACTTTCTATGGGTAAATACCAACGTGATAGCCCCCTTGAGATGTAGGGACAACACTCGAAAATCTTGTAAATCACTGGCCTCCAGCTCGTGATTTACAAGTTTTTCTCGTGTTCTCCCAACATCCCGCGTGGGTTATCACGCCGTTAAACCCATAGAAAGTGTGGTCTATTGCTTAAATATTTCATCTATATGCTACTCATCCTAGACATAGTCAACTTGGTGCTGCTAGCATAATTGATGATTGACCCAGAAAACTTGAACTCCTAATCTAAAGTAAAAGACAAAACAAATGGCCAACCTGTAATTTCACCAATATCTGATCCTTGTCTTCTGTCAAAACTTGCACTTCCTTTTGAAGATCAGCAATGGTTGATTCATGGCATGTTTTTTCTTGTAACAAAGACTATTAAAAATAAATTCAGTTTCATCTACTGAAAGGCTGATGGCAACAACAGAACAACATAATTTGCTGCAATATTTACTTTTCAGAAAAAAATTCTTAATTACAACCAGTACATTCATGTATATATACCTGGAATTTGTTTTCCAGGTCTTGGACTTGCTGTTGAGCCATACAAAGTCTGTTTTCAAGTTCTGTTCTCTCTGATAAGAGCCTTGATATCTATAATGAAATAATATTTGAGAACTTCCTTTGTTGTCTAAACCCTAAATTACTCATACAGTCATATTCATGTAGGAGGAAAAGGAAACAGCCAAATAATTGATTTAATTAATTCTGTCTGCATCAAGTACCATAAAATTCCGAAAATAAGCCCCGGGAGTTATATTTTTCAAAGGGCCTTTTTGAGGGGCTTATTTTTGGAGGGGCTTATCCATGGAGGGAAATTTGCATGTCAAAATCAATTGGGCCAGCCTTATAGCTGGAAGGAAATTTTGCATTTGAGGGCAATTTCCAAGCCCCCGGGGGGGTCTATATTTGGAGGGGCGATTTAACAGAGGTGTTTTTGCGTTACAAGTTTGGGGGGCTTATATTTGGAGTGGTTATACATGGAGGGGCTTATTTTTGGAATTTTACGGTATGTTTTGTACTGTGGATTACATTTTGCAGTGAGGACCCATAAATTTAGGTGTCAACAAAACCTGACTCAGCTCAGGCCAGCTGTTGCTCACTCAGAGTGACAATATGTAGGTATTTGGAATATGGTTATAGGGGCTGATATTATCCAGGATGCCTTGAAGTCACTGATATACTTGAATTTAAATCCTCATTGAAAACATCAACAGTACCTCTTCTCATTAGCCTTTATTTTTTTTATTTATTTATTAAATACGTGCGGCTAAATACTAATCTTTAATATTTGAATCAACTAGAATATCGCGATCGCATCTGCTCAAGTTTAACAGGCCTGCAAAGCTACATACATGCTTGGCTCGGCATGTCTCAAGCTCCACAAATCAAGCTTGCCTAAATTTCAGGCCTCAAGCAAAAGATACCAGAACATAGGTCATCCTTCAGTGCCACTAGAAGACCCAAGTGTCTGGCAACATTTGGAAGAGACCATTATGTTGTACATCGTCCTTTTTTAGGTTTGTCCGTAAGGCTACGTTTTCACAGTGCCGGTTGAATTTCCGATTCGTAAATCCAATATCTGTTTGCAATCTTCCTCTCATAACCACACATCCATGCAACCATGCCTCTGCTGGACTAAAATTTAGCCGGTCACGATGACACCTTTTTGACTGTACCGGTAAAAAATATGACCTTGATTTTAGTGTTCACATTTTAAATGGTTAGGCATTCAAATTTTTTTTGCAGTTAGCGTGGTTCTGTGTGAATGAAACACCTAAAAGTACAAATTCTCAACAGGTCGAAAATTTGACTGGTATCAAGTGAACGTAGCCTAAATCTGATATTACATAGAATAAAAAGGTGCTGACACAACTTAGTTATTACCTCATTTTCTAATGCTGATTGATCCCCTTTCGGGTTTGGAGTGGAGGAAGACATTTTCCTGCTTTTACGAAATGGCAGAGGAGTGGCAAACTCCTGGTAAAGATAGGGAAGAATCTTAAACAGCTTAAAACAGTGAATTTTTATTAATAATTGAAAGAAATGCAAAATTATAATTGTTCAAAATGGTAATGAGAAATCTCCATTCAACACATCATTATTCTACTTACAGAGCCACTGCACTTGGTGCCATTTTGACTTGAGTTGCTGCAAGTACTGGCATCTAGAACATTCAGGATTGAGAAAAAAGTTAGGCTTCTAAGCATTACACTGAGAAAACCATATCATTTTTAGTTGCTGGATATATGCAAAGGAGGGGAAAGTTTCATAACATCTGTTCAGGATTTCTTTTGGTTCTATTCAATTATCTTTTTGTTTCTTGGGGTTATTTTCGTCCAAAAAAATTGGAAGTAAAGTGTTCACCGTTGTCTGTATCAGATATATAGACACTCAACATGTAACATTAATTTATTTTGTTTTTTCTTTATGAATTATTGACGAGATCCTTAAGCTCTCATAAGCAGCCATGCACCCTCAATTGTTTTACCATTCGTGTGTGTGGTTGCTAGTAAGCGACCACCTCTAGTTACGACCACTTTTTCGACTTTCCAGGGTGGTTGCGTAGGAGAGCATGATCATTATTTTGTACTGTACAACAAGCGACCAACAACTACATGTAAATCTTCTAAGGTTGAAAAAATGTCAGCAAAAATAACTTTTTTATCATCAGAATGCCCAACCATTCTAGCATAAAATTAATACAGACTATACTAGTTGATTATGTTGTTAAAATCATCAAATAATTATTTTGCTCACCAAGTAAGCTACTGTTAGCTGGTCCAGTATCTAAAACAACACAAGAGAATGATGTGTATTTTTATGTCATTTACTAACAAGTTATCATTAATAGTATTTAGAGACATGGGAGTAAATTAGTCCCAGGAAGTATATACTAGTATACTGACAGCACTATGTACAGAATTGTTATTTTTGTCATCCGGGTTCACATTATGTTGGGAAATTTGTTTTATTCTACATGTTAATCATTTTTTGCACATGCTTGTCTTCTGTTTTGACTATTTTTTTTTGTAATGTAATCACTGTTTATTTCAATTTCTGTTCTTCTGTTTTGATTATACTACAGTTCAGAAATAAGTGACCACAAAATGATGTGCTTCGAATTTGTTACTGAAGGTGCATTGTAGAAAAGCATTGTTGGCTACCTGCTTTTATATCTACTGTAAGCATCCAGGGGTAGGTTTTTGTAGCTGGCAGGGTATTAGGGTGAAACCAAAAGTTGTAGGATACAGATGATGCCAATTTTTGTGATACAGTCTGCTTTAGATAAATGATTCATAATTGTTTCATTCTCAGTTCAGTTTGGTACTTTTCACATTGATTGTCTTATCAGTGGAGTGATAGTACTATAAAATAACCAACTTGACATTTTGTTCACTATTTTGAAACCAGTGGACTGATGATTTGACCATTCAAGAAATGCTTCCTAGTTTCCAGACCAACCTTTCAATTCTGCAAATCGCTTTCCCTTTCCAAACCCAGGTGCCGTACCATGTCTCTGGGTTTTGATTTCGTACGATCCAACTGGGGGCGCTTGAGATACTACAATTAAAAACATTTTTTCAGTTCTGGATTGTGCTCTCTGACAATCAAATCATGATGGTTATAAACACAATATTAGAGTCGAGGGAGGATTAAGTAAAAATCCAACTTCAGGAGATTTTGGATTTATGTGTAGTGATAATGAGCAATACATTGCCTCCAATCACATTGCACAATTAAAGAAACACCTGGCTGTGTGAAGACATGTAATGAACCTGACAAAATAAAATTTAAGCCTACAGGTAACAATGTCTATAACTAAATAAGCAATCAACCTGATTTGAAACTACTGTGGCGTTAATTAATACAGGTACCTTACATGTATGTCATATAATTATGTATCTTGGTCAAGAACTAACCAAGATACAATGTATGGGCAACTCTCATATCAGGTTAATAAATTTCATGAATAAGGCTTGTTCAAAAATTTTCGATCCCCAGCGAGCAGAGGCCCTTTGTTATCCCAAATTAAAACTTTAAAAGATCGAAAGGCCTCGGCTCGCAGGGTAAACAATAATCAGAATAATAGGCACCAGAATCTTATAAACAGAAGTCTGGCAATTCGAAAATTCTTTTCTTAACAGCAGTGTAGGGTGCAAGAGACTCTCAACGAAAAACTGGAAGTTATGACTGGATTCCTGAAACGCAAAACTGATTCATTTCATCCGTAGTAATATGGAGACATATGGAGAGTGGAGCAAAGTTGAGCAGTTAAACAGAAACACAGGAAATAAATCTCAAGATAGTGTGGAGAATTCCTCTATCGAAGCTGGGTTAAACGTAAACTGCATTTTTTCAAGCCAGTTTCAAAGTTGATATGTTGTGGAGACCGACACATGATAATGCAATAATCCTGCACGATTTTTATATTTTCCCGTCTTACCTGTGTCTTGAAACCTCTTGGCCTTTGGAAACATATTGTTAACTGCAATAACGCAAATTATGAGAAAATCCGATCCGGGGAGAAAATTGGAGACGATCGACGAATTTCTTTTGAATAGAAATAGCTGCAGTGAAAATGAAATCGATGTGCTGTTCGTTGGGAAGTGTAGATTTCAAACGGCAACCAATCAGAACAAGGTATTTTTCGCTTGCCTCGATTTCGTTTTGGTCATTGACTTTCCCGCGAGATTTGACTCGAAAATTAAATGTTGTCGTGCTGTTTTCGGATTAAAAAAAGAAGACAAAGATAAAGTCAAAGTAAGCTATATTTTTGTTATTTTTCCCGGCGAAGAAATAATTTGTTTAAATTTTCATTCTTTTATTCAAGTCTTCGGGTTTAAGAATCGAGAAAAAAGACCCCATCACAGACACTAAAACATATTCTACTTCTATTTTTTTGAAAGGAAAAGGAAAATATAATTTTGCTCCGAACACATATTTTCAGCTACGTATTTTTCTTCTAGTTTATCTTTGCTCGCCGCCGAAATTCGAACTTTTGACATTTTTAAATAAAAACCAATCATATTCTACGATTATTCCACGTGATTCGTGTCTGACCAATCGTTACTTGAATTTGTTATTAGTTTTGATTGGCTGATTGAGGATTATCTTACCAACAAGATGGCGTCCTTCCCGTTGGAAAGTGTTTTCAGTTTTCCCAATCGATGTTTGTTGTTCTTTTGAGGCATTTGAAAATGTGATTGCGTTGCTTTTTAAGTCAACTGATCAAACATAAATATGCCGAGGTCTGAAAGAAGGATTTTGACTGTCTAGCGAGCATCTTGAGCTTGGTAGTTTTAATTAATCGACCTTGACCTTCGGCTTCGTCATGACTTCGAGTTTTCGAGATGAAGATTACATCAAATTTCTACAAGATCAAGGTACATTTATACACTTTTTCATTTATAACATTCTTAAGAAATCGATGTATTTTTTGTATAAGTAAGTGAGAAAGTAGGAATGATGTATGTTCAAAACAGTAGGAGTATTTGTATTAACACCTGTTGATAGTTTATAATAACAGGCCAAGATAAAAGGAAGTGTTTTATAAACAGTTTACATTATAAACACGCCTACTCAGAAATTCATGACAAACGTTAATCACTTGGAGTTGATACAATGTTTACTCGAAGTTGAATCGCACTGATCAGGGTGAACAGTTGATAAAACGTGTGAGTTTGTCGCCTATAAATTAATATTGGACGGTGTTTATTTTATCAAGCTTTGTTTCTTTTTCACTATAAAAAAATGTGGACAATCTGGTTTCTTTTCTTTGCAGTTAGGAGACTAAATACCGTCCTCGAGGAATATCAAAAGAAATACTTACCAGTCAAAGAACCGGAAGTTAAGGTACAATAACACTGCAATAAAAATAGTTAACTTAATAGTTAAAAAATTATTCTAAATTTCTGCCGTGATTGACTGATTTTTCTAAGTGTTTTTGTTCTGATTTTGCCAAGCAAAGAATTTTGTTAGCTAAAATGGATGTTGGTAAGAGCTGGCTTAGCATGTTGTGGACTCCAAAAAAGTGATGTTCACCTCATTATTATGAATACTGTTGAGAAAATTGTTTTCACAAGGACCCTACTTATCTGAGAGCCTGACTAGCTGCTGGCCAATTTCACTAGCTAGAAAAGGGCGTAACATTACACTGACTGAAATTTCTCCGGAAGACAAAGAAGTGAGGTAGTTTTCCAGGTTGAAGATGCAATTGAGTTACAAAGCTGCCTTGGGTAGTAAATTATCAATAAAATTATCAATTTATTGCATTGAAAAAATTATGGTATATTGTTAGAAAGTCTGTGTTTTAGAACAAACAAGACTAGAGGATTGATCATTTATGGTAGCGTCCTATGGAACAACCCTCCTTTGCCATTAAGGCAAGCTAAAAGCATTGATTCTTCTAAGCGTTTAGCGGTGAGACTCATTTATTTTCTAAGGCATTTTGTTAAGATTTTGGGTAAAGTTTTGGAACATATGTATATATATTTTACATGTACTCTTTGAAATATTTTTATATCTTTATCCTTAAAGACTAGTTAATAGTTTTAATAACTTATTAATTTTTGTGAGTTTTTAAACTGTAATGTGCTTTTGATTATTTATATAGTAAAGGCCGTCTATAAAATAAATGCTGTGGTTTTAAAAGGCCCCACTCCCCCTTCCTCAATGGATGGCTGAGGTCCATCTGCTAAGTACAAACAACAGGTTGTAGTTACTAGCCTACCCATTTTTGGGTACAGGTATGGAGTGAGTCATGAGAAGATGCCTAAAAATTTCAATGTCATGTACATCTAGTGATTAAGCTATGTATAGGTTGTAAGAGATGAAAGTATTGAATGATGGCAAAACTGTTCATATTGAAAGATGACAGAGAGATGAGAGAGGCACAAAAAGCCTCTCCCAAAGCCAGAATGATGAAAGAATTTCATTGTAATTTTTTTTTTTTTTAACAACTGGAAAATAATATTGGAGTTTCCAATGTTCCACTTTAGCTCTGGAAGCTAGTAAAACATGTCACTTGTAAATATGATTCTTGATTTTTTGTAGTATTAGTTTAAAGTCAATGCCCTTGTAAACATTGGATAATGCAATTATTAATTTGGTCATTTGGTCATTAGGAGCATTATCTAATTAATTTCTTTTTTTTCATGAGCTTGACTGTTGTTTTTGGTGTCTTGTGAATTTGTGGGTTGATGCTAAATGCGCTGAACTCCGCAAAACAATGCTGTATGCTATAATTTTACTTTCAACTCAGTGGTTTTATTGATTAAACTTCCACAGGCTGATGACCCTCTTCCACCATGGATCACAAACTCCAGGTAATGTTGTATATAACAACCCTGTATATAGAGGTCACCCTGTATATTACAGTCACCGGACAACTTCCCAAAATTTTCAGTGGCCTTAAATTTTCTGCAAAGTTGGCCTGACATGTATAAGTTGTCACCCTGTATAATAACAGTCACCTTGCCATTTCCCAAGGGTAACTGTTGTACACTGGTTTGACTGTACATTGTACATGTTATTACACAATGTAAGCAGACCAATATTATTTTAGATTGGTGCACTCTGGCCTCAGTAAAACCGGGATAAAGGTTTATCATATACATCAAATACACTGTTTACAGGCAGCCATTATGACACCTGAACAGTGCTCGACTTTCAGAAAAAAATCTTGGGGCCAGCTGCCCCCCAAGGTTACATTTTTTGTCGCCAGAACAAGTATTCTGGTTGCCAAAAATTATGTTTAAGATTTAATGGAATTAGTTTTGTGAAGGATAACGGATTATCATTAGTGTACATTTTCCCAAAGAAGAGAGTTGCCTATATTGGGGCAAGGTTGGCGACCAGGCATGAAAATTTGGTCACCACTGAGTAAAAGCTGGTTGCATTGGCAACCCCACAGGTCGCAACGTCGAGCCCTGCTGAAGGAGGATCATGAGATTACACCTATATTAAGATCTCTCCTTACAGATACACTACCGGTATGTAACCCACCAGGCCAGGAAAGGTTGCAGCCACACCACCGGGATGTACGTCCCCTACTCTTTTTGAACTTTGGTGTGGGTTCTTTTACATCCCAGAAGAACCAGAACCATCTTTATCCGAGACGACTACAAGGTCTATAAAGAGTTTGCAGATGTCGCTACAAAGGCAGCACTTTTTTCCCAGTTATTTAAACATCCTGAGTGTTGGTCTAGCCAGGGTTGGAACCCATGACCTCCTTCTCAGCAGACCGGCGCTCTCCCAGCCGAGTCAACAAGATGGCAACACATCTGCAGCTCAGGCTATAGTAAAGCTATGTGCAAACAGGTGCAACAACTCCCAACATTGTTGGTCCAGCAATTTTGGAAGTTGTTGTGTCCTTTTGCACAAAGCTTAAAATTTGACCGGTTGCAAACTTTGCACAACAACTCCCAACAACATACAACAGCATGCAACAGGACGTGCAAACGGAGTTGTTGGCCAACAATGTTGCGTCTCTTTGCATGGGGCAATGGTTATCACTGACAAGTTAGTTTTGACCTCCTCTGCAACGTTGCCAAATCTTGGTTAACCAGATTTGCTATAAGAGTACTAATCAGCAGAGTAATAATAAATATTTTATTACTCATACTGGTTTGCCACTGATGAACCTCTCCTTACTCATATGGCTAGAGTAATAACATTAATAATATTAAAATAATAGTGAGTGACAGTAATAGTTTGATTTTGCCACTTTAACATTACCACTTTCACCACTTGATAATTTAGTCTGACAGTATGAAGACTGTTTTTTCCCTCTTTCTTCTTTCCCCAGCATTTTGTCTCCTCTTCTGGCAGAGTATGACAGCAGCATTAAATCCTCTCAAGAACAAGTTTTTTTCTTGAAGGTATGAAATCTTCATGGTCATTATGAGGACAGGTACTGCCGTAATACTCTACAATACTTTTCATGCATGCAGTGTAAATGAGGCAAGCGACTAGCCAAGGTATAAAAAAGGGTAAGATGCCACAGGCAATGTTCTCCTGTAGAAGCTGTATCTTTGTATCATCTTATGTGGGGTGCTCTTGTTGTACTCCCGGGGGGGGGGGCACTTTAGGAAATTCTGGGTGGGGATGTGCCGCTGGGACCCTGGAACCCTAGACCTATACCAGAGCTAGTTCAGCTGAATTTTGCTACCCTATACTAGAGTAAACTCCCAAAATCCCCCTATCCTAGAGTAGCTGTTTCCCCAGTCTAGATAAAATCTTCAACCAACTGATCAGTTTCCTGAAAAATGATACCCTATTCTAGACCCAAATGCCCTGATTTATATACCCTACCCTAGAGTAAACTGCTTGAAAACCATACCCTTCACAGCGGCACATACCCATATAGCCCATATATGGCAGTACCCCCCCCCGGGGTTGTACTGTAGCTGTGATTTTCCCCCTTCCCATCTCACCCTGGTTTCAATTCCCTCTACTGGTTTTCCAGTGTGACTGTACCTGGTCATTGCTTCCCTCAGAATAGTCATCAGTGCATCACTAATTAAAAGATTTCAAGTTCCCAAGTACATACAACAAGTAGGTAGGGAATCAAACAGCTAGGGATTTCTTTTGGTTCTATTTTCTTTCTATCTTTAAAAAGTAGCCTGGAATCATACTCCGCCACTCATCAAGTAGCAGAGAGAAATCTCCACCCTCCCCCCTAGGCCTTGACAGCCCTGAGTCATGACTAGTCCCTCTTCACTCAGTGTCTACTTCATGTTCCTGGCTTCACCAGTGGCGGATCCAGGAGAAGGGCCCGAGGGGCCCAGCCCACCCATATTTTTAGACCAAACTGGGGCGTGAAGGGCTGAAAAAATTTTGTTTGAGACCAGTTCCTCCCCTCTTATCACAGAGTCTGGATGACCGTGCCCCTCCCCCCTTATCTGAAGGTCTGGATCTGCCACTGCATTAGTTTCCAGGGCTATAGTCTATGTACTGTTGCTGTATTGTCTTTTGGATCAATGAAATATGTGGCAGGTGTTTTTAATTCAAGATACCTTGGAGAGATCTGACTCTGCAGTCTTCATTTCTAGGTGAACTGTATTTTAAAAGGGTTTGTATATAATTGATTGGTGAACTTTTGGATTTTAGGAAGAACTGTCTTCTTTGAAGCAAAAGACAGACCATGTTGTGCAAGAAAACACAAGGTAAGTTGTCTTCTTTCCGTGGCTTCAAATGACAGCGAGAGGAAGAGGGGGAGGGGAGGGGGGCTGATAGCATTCTACAAAGCCTGCACTTGTCCGGAAATTCCCTCTAAAGAAAAAGAGAAGAGGAGAAACCTCCAGACCCCCACCCCCAAGGTTAATTTGAAATCACAGTAAAAGTCACACGGAAAGTTGCCTTAGTCTAGAAATAATCATTACTGTCTCCCATCACTTGCTACAGTGTACATATAAGTATAAACCCAGTAGCCTTTTTTAAGGAAAGGATTTTCACATAAAGTTGGTGTAAAAGTGTCTTAAAAGTGACACCAGTCCAATATTGATTTGTTGTGTCGGGAGGCCTGCCTTTTTGGGAGCCGTCAGCCCCTATCCTATACACTGCCTATCACCCTTAGTTAATTTCTATTCCCCTTATTGTAGGCTTCATGAGGAACTTAGAAGAAGCATAGAAGCACAAATGGACATAGTGAGGCAAGGAGAAGGCAGCGGCGTAGAAAAGGAAGTGGTGGAAAACATGCGCCACCAGCTTCATCTGCTGTCACAGGTACATGTAGTATCATTGAATCTAGTCATGATTACAAAAAGGTAGTCTTGAAAGAGAAAGAAGTTTGAAAATGATTCTAAAACCTGTGCTATGGACTACACTACTCAGAGATTGCAACATACTTTTGGTGACAACATGAAAGTGCACATACGTGTATAGGATATGTGTTATCATAAATTTGAGATTGCTTGCAATGAATTAAGATGGAATCCACCAGGAAATTGACTAATTTTGATTCTCAGTGGACAAAAATCTTGTACCAGAATAATTTAAAGCAATTTGCATTCTTTCTTACATTTTTTAAGGGCTAAAGATGTAATAAATCATCTGTAGTAACACCTAAAAGATATTACTTACATGTATGGGAGCCCGTGGCTAGAAAATGAATGTCAAATTTCACAAAATTACATTGCACATGAAATTTTTACTTGTATAATCACAATTCTTGTGAAATCGGACATTTATTTTCTCGGACTTCCATGAGAAATTTTCTTTGGTGTTACTACAGATGATTTATTACATCCTTAGCCCTTGAATAATGAAAAAAGAATGCAATATTCTTTAAATTATTCTGGTACAAGGTTTTTGTCCACTGAAAATTAAAATTACTCAGTTTCCTGGTGGATTCCGTCTTAAGCGACAGTCTCTCCCAGTTGTAAATGCATGTATTCGGACCGCTTCTACATGTAGAAAGAGATCTGTGGCTCAATTCTTGTAAGCGACCACCTCCCATAAGCAACTTCCACTAAATATTTACATTTGGGGTGGTCGCTTACAGGAGGTTGGACTGCAAGGGGTTGCGTAGAGTACTGTGCATGTATGACTGACAGTAAGCCAAGTTTCTGTCTTTAGGACCCCCAAGGAACAAGATTCACCTGTTTCATCAATAATGAATGATTATTACTATTAATGTACTGTTCTGTTTTTAGGAAAGAGACAGTTATGTGGAACTATGGCAAAATGCCTGCAGTGAACTTGAAAAGCTTCAAGAAAGTGAACGGGTATGAGATACTGCAGCTACCCTTGGAGCCATAAAGCAATGATCACCTCCTTATGTCTCCTCGGGATATAAGTTCTTTTAAGATGCATAGATCTCTTGAGAAAAAAGGAAATGATGTCCATTTTTAATAATAGTGTATAATACATGTACATGCAAGATTTGTTAACATAATTTTCAAGCTTTTTTTAAACCGTTTAAAAAAGAACTTGTGGGTCAAGGGTACAGAGAGTTTGCTTATACCCAACACCCCTGTGGAATAACTATCCTTATACCCCTTGTGACGTAATCTCTTTACGTGGAAAATAAATTTATTGCACCCCTGTGCGGGACAAAGAAATCATCTGACGCGGCGTAACAAGTGAGAGTGAACCCTTCTAATGGCTTGGGCCATTAAACTCTAGGGAAATTGTTGTCTGCCCATGGCCACTTTCCAAGTATAGTCACTTTTCTCTAGCTATAAACTTCATCCAGGTATGTATATGTAGGTGCAATAAAAGGCAAAACTCAAAAAGTGAAGGAATCTATCCGGTGGCATTCAGATTGGCGCTAAGGGTGGATTTCCACTGTCGCATAATTTTTACTTGCGTACGCACATAAATTTTACGCACGTAAACAAAATAGAGGCAACGTATGGAAGGTTGCGCTTAAACGAAAAAGTTGATTGAGCGCACGTAACAATTACGCGACAGTGGCAATCCACCCTTAGGAAATCATAAGATCTTTTTCTATGCAGTAACTGTTTATACGCCTGGCTGTGGGATTGTACACAAAACAAGATTTCTTAATATGAATTCTATTTTTTTTCATTTCTAGGAGAAAGATGCAGAACTTAGGACCAGATCAAGGACCATGACAGGCCTACAGGTATCTCCCAGTTGATCTACATTCATTGTTATCATGGCACCTTGTGAGGGAATTTTTCCTCAATAAATCGATGACAGTTTCAAAATTAATATTCATATTGAAAGACTGAAAAGAAGAATAAACTAATTAGCACCATTCGAAAGTTGTTGGGGAGGCAGCTTGACTGAGTGGTCAGCGCGTCGGACTCGCAATCCTGGGGGCTCGGGTTCGAGCCCTGCTGTGGTGACTTGCTGGATTTGTTCTCGGTCGTCCCAAGTTCAGATCCTTGGCCACGGTTGCAAATAGCCAACTGGTTGCCTCCTGCCAGTTGCCTCATGTTATGTTGTATTCGAGTTATTTGTTTCTAAGTATTTGAGTGGAGTGCCTGTAAACTAGCTGGATAAGCTAACTGCACTCTTCACTATAAACAAGCCTTTGTGTTTCATTTAGCACTGGCGAATACTGACAAAACAACAGATCTCACAGTCACGGGGAAGCTTTTCCTTTAAAGGACACACTGTGTTAAGGAATGTGAGCGTGTATACGATTAAAGTAGTACATTACTCATACAGTGCTGCAGAGTAGCTTTTCAGTGAATAGTCCCGTGTAAGGATTTCATCCACAGACACCCAGCAACAGTTATAATTTTGTAAAAGGTACAGTAGTGAAATACTGCTCGGTAAATTTCATGTGATTGTAGAAAAAAGAGAGAATCTGGGACGAGTAAACTTTCGCAAAGATTTGCATCCCCAGTAACTATCCCAGAAACAATTTTGGGTCGGCTCCAGTACCCTTCTCGTTTCTGAAGTGGAGCTGTCACAGTGATATGGGTATCCCCGCATTTTGGGCATCCCCATTTCCAAAACCCTAGTGATATGGCATCCTCTATAACCCTAACCCTAACTCAAGTCGTTAAGGTAAGATGAGAAGGGGATGCCCATATCACTAGGGTTTTGAGAATGAGTATTCCCAAAAGGCAGGGATGACCATATCACTGTAACAGCGCCTGAATTCATACCAGGGATTTAGTGCTCAGGCTCTAAAGTTATAACCACTTTCAATGGACAGCATCAACAGTGACAGAGAAAAGAAGCCCTCAGTAATTGCCTTCTGAATGGTCACAATACTCTTTGGAAAGTTAAAATCACCCAGTACAGCATAATAAACAGTGCGATGGCAGAAAGTGGAATGGCCATACTGAAAAGTTGGAGCCACATGTAGGTCGCACAGCATATGCAACAACAAAGAAAAATGTATCTTTTTTATTCAGATGTGATCCCATAATTTAAGGCAATTCAGCTACTCTATTCCATTCTCTCTGTGTGTTCATATGGCTGTCTTTTTTTTGCAGTTAGAAAACCCTAGCCCTGATATAAAACTTGTTTCGTTAACGACTTTGCTTTCTTTTGACAGAATGATCTTCAAAAAGCGAGGCAATTTGCTGGAGAACTGCAAACAGTCAATAGGAAGTTGAGAATGGTAAGAAAAGGCGTAGCCCTAATATCGTGAGACAGAGAAATCAACTCCTAAATGCATTGTCTCCCTCCCACTGGCTCATAGGTGAAGTTTTCGTAAAAAAAATTCCTTCTGAAGAGGCTGCTGCGTTATCTTCTCCGAAATCTCAGTCGTGTGTTGAGTTGTGCCGTGGTACACAACAACTTCGGCATCAGATTAAGTTTCTGGGAAACTGCCCACCTACCCGTCCCCTAAGCCATCATTTTGCCCGAAGTGAGAAGTAAGTGTTAATGTTGGCTTTGGGGAGGGGTAGGTGGGCAGTTTGCCAGAAATCTCGCTTCACTCTTCGTTTACGTTTTCATCCAAAAAGAAGGAACTTATTGACTTTTTTGTTAAAACACACCATTTTTGGTGCGTCAAAAAGACTTGGTGTTATCAGATGTGTTGTTAGAGGGAAATGGCCCTGACGTTAAAGAGATCTTTCTAAGGTGAAGTTTCGAGTCTTAGCCATGCCTTTCGTCAAAGGATTAGCCCTACGGCTTTTAAATCCCTCTACGGTTGCTAATATGCAATACGACTGATTAAACCAATTATTGGTTTTCTCTTTTCAGCCGAAGGAGCCACAAACTTTCTTTCAAAATAGCCTCTTTGTTTAATATTGTTAGGGCAATTATTCGCAAAATTTCTTCTTAACTGAGTTGTGCTCTCAGTGCTACATAAGTTTGTATAACGAAATGTCGTGTTGATAAATTTATTATAACTTTATCGTTCATGGTGTAGTGGCGTTGATTATTATATTTCCAACGTATAGTATTTTCTCCTCGTGAAGTCTTAGACTGGGGGATATATATTTTCTGTTTTCCCCCATTCAAGAAAACACCAACCTCGACCATTTTTTTAATTGAAACTTTAATATTAATGAATGCGTGCAGACATAACAGTTTCACTACAATAAAGTATTTTATTCGTATTGAATAGAATGTAACGCCACAAACTAAGATTATCTTCTGTTTTAAGGAGCACGAAAAATTTCTCACAACCGCTCATACACAAGATCAAGAAATTGATGATGTACGTAATGATTTAAGGTGCGTAAAGTTTAGTTGTAATTTCCTGTCATTGTAAACTAATAATACATTTATTTAGTTCTAAACTGGCTGTAGTAAATGAGTAGTCTAAGACTTGATAAAGCAGGAACTGCGAGTTCGTTCAAAGACTTAAAATCCTGGTAAAGCGTAATGTGGATAAATGAAGAACTGAGCTGATTTTTTAAATTCGATTTTGAGAGCTACAATTTTTTTTGATCACTGATGTCATTTGACAGGGTAAGAAATCGATATTTGCGTTAAAAAGTGCGAAATTTTACTTCTGTTAGGAAATGCAAGACAGAGTTGAAAAGCACCAAATCTCAGAACGAAGAACTTCGTAGAACGTTGGAGTTAATGGAAGGAAGAATTAGAGCAAGGGTGAGTGATCTCTCATTGTCTTTCTCGATCGTGCAAATTGTTTACCATATATTTGTTACGTAATGTTGGTCTACTTTAGATTCTCCTTCTCAAAGCAGCAATCAAGTTAACCGTATTGACTATATTCTTTCGCAGTCGACGCGATTCTGTCTCTTGCCAGCACACGGTGCGGGTCAAACGAGCGACATGACTTATTGTCAAAAACCACGTGACATTAGGCCATAGTGATACGACATCAAGGGACTTGGTCCAATGTGAACAAACCTGGCGGACCAAGATTTCGCTAGAGACGGGACAAAATCGCATCACCCTTGAAGGCACCCTTCCCCAACCAAAACAAAAACAAGAAAAGAAAAATAGAGAGAGGAAGCACAAGTAGGCGCAATATTTCTTTATCACGCTTATTATAACTCTTAGGGTAAGACAAGCGATCTAAGCGTTTTCTTTTTAATCCTGATTTGAAACGGTTAGGTCGCAAACAATGTACGGGGCAAGGCTATGACACTACATTAACAGTTATTGGTTTTTCAGTCATTCTCGGTCCGGTAGACGTGCCAATGGTATTCTTTTCAGTTCTATTCTTAATTTTACCACTTACGTTTAAAGCTTGATACATGAGCGTTGTGTTTGTAATTCTACATGAAAGAGACAACTCAGCATGGAACTTTTGTGAGATAGAAACACCAAGTCCGGAGGGAGGGGGATTGTTTTTTCAAAGATCTTCCTCTTTTCACACAGGACAGAGAAAGAGGAGAGGAAGCAAACAGAGAGCAACCAGTTGACACACGCGTGGAGGAGTTACAAACAGCTATAATTGAAATGGAGTCCAGGTTCGTACACTCTTGATGTTGCGGTTTATTGTTAAGTTGTTCTCGAAAAATTACGACAAAAGAGTTTCAAAAAGAGATATTTCAACGTTATTATCGGAGCTCTCTCGCGCAGCAGAGTACCATGGGTAAGAAAATTTGGTTATCTATGCATTCAAGAAATTTTGGTTCTGACAAAATCGTCCGTACGTACCTACGTCTACCTCTTCATGTTAGCGGATGTGACTCACTAGCTAGGAATCCAAGGCGTATACTATCTGTGTTTAACTTGGTATTGGACATCCATCTTATGACCAATTGACAGCTGTCAAAAAAGTATCTGCTGACCGGTGTCACATGACTGTATCCCGGGCTCAGGTAGACAACTCAATGAGGTGACGTATTTTTAAAGTTATCCGCTGACCAGTTCCTGGTTTTCAGGTCCAATTTTAAAAGGTGGAATTCAGTTTGCTTCCTGCCTATGGCAAAAGGTGGATAACTTAAGAAATAAATTTCATTAAAAATCCCTCGATTGCTTCGCTTTTGACCGTGGCTAAATCTATTTATTATGTGAGGAATTTTTTGAAGCTGAGTAAGGATGGATTTCCACTGTCGCGTAATGTTTACGTGCGAACGCAAGTAAAATTTACGGGCGTAAATAGCACAGAGGACGACTACGAGTACGAGATTTAACTTAAAGTTTGTTCGCGTAATCTCGAAGAATATTCAACCCGGAAAGCTTCATTGTATTATTTTTCACCTGAAAAAGTAGTGCTGTTATTTTTATTGAAGAAGGTTTAGCCCTTTCCCGGTGGCAAAATGATAAACTTCTAAAATTTGATAACTTGTGTCTGCCACTACAATATTCTCGCTAAAACCTGTATTAGAATGACGGCGGCAACGAGAACGGAAAAAAAGCAATAGCTTTAGACAAGCAAAACGACAACGTTGCACGTACATCACGCTTTCTTGTACATTTATCTGCCGTCGTTGCAAGACTACGACGTGAAACTGCCTAATTTCACGTTTTGTCAAGGACGGTAACAAAAGACAACAACTTTCTTTTTCTTTTCCTGAACTTGATGAAGTCCTTTAGAATTCAACTCCGAAAAAATTTGCCAACATTTGACGAATTAAACGAGATGGAATAAGCGCGATAAAGTTTGAGGCAGCGCGAATTCACTTTTTAAGTGACATTTTCGTAGCCGTCGCCGTCGTCGTTGCGTTAACTCCCTAATGGCGTTGGGTCACGCCTGGGCACTACTCAATGTATTGAGAAAGTCTCGTACTCGTAGTCGTCCTCGTCTCAGAATCTAAAGCTCTCTAATGTATGAAGGGCCGGGCGTAAACGTAAGAGTTGAGCCAGGTTCAACTTTTACTTTTAATACGAGTGACCTACCCGTGAAAATTACCTGACGGTGGAAATCTATCTTATAGAGGATTTCAAATTTTTACCAAACGTGCGCGTGCAATAAAAATTACTTTTCTTTTACGTGTCCTATACGTCATAATGACCAACTCATTGATAACAATACAAGAACAAAATTCAGTCGGTTACCAGAAGGCTAAAAGTTTGCAACGAAAGCTGTTTTATTCTGGATGGCAATTGCCGCAAACACGTAAGCATGTTGAACTCTGAAAACCAACAGGAAAATTTTTTTAAGCACTAGTTTTCGTCGTCCCTGTGTTGTAGCCTGTGCCACAGACGAAACTAAGCTTTGCCAAACAGCGCCGATTAATCCTTTTTCTGGTCCCCACCTGTGTACCAAGATTTGAGTACTCGCCATGATTGGCCTGTTAAAAAAGCCACTGTCGAATTACCAGTTGACGACGGGAAAGCGCGCGGAAAGGACTAAACGTTCCCGTCGTGGCTAAATCAGCCCAATAGTGAACAGGACGGGAGAGCAAAGAAGACGGCAAACCTTGTGTGACAAGCGTGACAAAAATTTTGTTTGAAAAAAATTTGCTTTAAACTTCATCTTCCTTTAAAAAGATCTTTTTGTGAAAGACCAAAAAACATTAGTATTTAGTGAAGATTACGACAAAACATGCAAGTAATAGCCCTGTCACGTTTGTCACACACAAGCGTTTTCCCGTCTCCCACTTTCTGCCGTCCTGTTGTGTACATGTAAACTCACTAATAATGTACTTGTCGAGTTTTTGGTTGTTCGCTCATATGTATCACTGGATGAATGTCTCGTTATGTAGTAATTGTTTGTTTTTTGTAGTTTAGTGGCTAACATGATAAATCGCTCAGTAAGGGAAAAAAAAAAAAACAAAGAAAGTGACTAGTTTTATAGGTTGAGTTTGACAGTATGACAAATATAAAATTCATTTTAAATTCGTTTTCGTATTAACTTCCTTGAGTAGTTTAAATGGAGCGAGGGTTCGCTAAAAATAACTAAAGCCTATATGGATATTTTTAGTAGCCTGTTCCTCTGTTGACTGTTAGTCTTTAATAACTTCATGCTCTTGTTTGCAGACTTTCCGCGACGCTAAAAGAGGTCTCTAGGTTACGCTCTGAAAGAACAGAGCTGGAGGACCAAGTGGAGGTTTTGCAAAAGAAAAGGTAAAAATCCGATTATTGTTGTTGTTGTTGTTTTGAAAGGTCTTAGTTAGACCATGGTTCGAGGTATCCAGTAGGCTAGTCGATCTCTTCGTGCAGATACAGCAATTGTTCACTTATTTCGTTCGAGAAAAGTTTTATTCCATTAGAATTCTCGCGGAATCGACCGTAACTCGTGTTATGCATTTCGCCTCTCGATTGGCGTAATATTAATGTTCCTTCGTGACCAAAACATAAATTTAAGACGGCAGTTCATCGACTACTTTTTGATATTCTATTGTCTGAGGATGATTATTGGCCCACTTATTTCAAACAGCTTTGAGGGGCCTGCGTTATCTCATTTCGTTTAATATAAAATTATAAGTTTTTTTCTTACTTCTTTTTCCTTCCAGCCATCTGTTAACTAAAATGTATATGAGTAAATGTAAATAATTGCTGCGAGAGTAGCGAGCAGCAGACCTATTTCACTCAGGTAGGTTTTGAAATCTCGCCAGATGTTAGTAGGACATTGTACCTCGCTTTCGTGTGGTTCAAAAGCACTGCTGATCATTACCACGCTGGCTCCAACACATTCTTTCTGTTCACGAGCCTTGGCAACCTTTGCGAGTTCTTTGGCCTGCTTTGTCCCTTCTGGTCTTTGATTTTGTGGGTAGCCTGTGCATGTTCCCAACCGCGAGAAATAGAAACAAAAGGTTGTCGGTGCAAAATTTTGACGTCACAATACCATCATCCTCAGCGTTTTTTGTATCATTCCTCGTGTCAGCGAAAACGTTGTTTATGCCATCAAATGCCGAACGATATTCAAGTGCAGAATGATATTCAGACACAAGACCCAGGTGGACTGAATGAGGACTTTTATTTTATTTGAACCTGTTTTTCTATTATCCATGCTCTAAGTCAGCGCGCGCATGTAACATTACGTCAGTTTCTAATTTTATCTGAAGTTACATTTCATCCTAATAAGCTGATTTAGCAACAGAACGGGAACGTCAGTTGACGATGGGAAAGCGCGCGGAAAGGACTAAGCGCTACTTCCGGTGCCCAATTTGCCGCTCTGCGATTGGTCAAGCCAGTTGTTTGATTTGCGCGCGCCGTCGTCAACTGACGTTCCCGTTCTGTTGCTAAATCAGCCTATTGACCTCTTCAGTTCGACCCGAGCACAAACCCAATATTTTTTATAGAGAAAAGAGACACACTATCACTACACCATATATTCGCAGCACCTCACCATCCATTTGGAACCGCTATTATAATTTATATTGACATTTTATCAGTGCCTGACCTGCCTCGATTATTGTTCCTGCTACTTTGCGGGTCAGCACTATCTTATGTATTTATGTGAAGAAAATAAAGGTTGTTGTTTTTAGCGTAAGTCCAAAACTGTAACCTAGCAACATGCGGTTCATGCCCAATAAGAACCCGGCGCCGAACGGTTTCCGTAATCATTGACTAATATCAGTATACATTTATATATATATATATATATATATCGTACATTTTCTTTTAACTGCAGAAAGTACTAACTGACACCATGTTTTAGCTTGAATATTATGCACTATGGAAAACCTTTACTTAATTTTTGCATTCTGTAGGCTTCCAGATAACAAGTCCAACGCTATAACCGCTCAGCCACGCTGCCTCCTCTTAATTATTATGCAGTGTAAATAAAGCTTTAGGACCCGTTTATATAGAGAAAAGTTACCCCGGGAAAGAGGGACATTCTCCCATCCGAGTCAACTTAGCGAATGTTTATATGACAAAAAAAAAGACCCCTTTGCTTGAGCCAACAGCTGACAACAGTGCTCGCGCATGCTCAGATTGTCTCGCCTTGACCGAGTTGACCCGGCTGGGTGAATCAAAGTATTTATATGGAGAAAAGTTGGCCCGGCTAGGAGGGTGACCCTACCACCGAAAAAGGGTGAATCAAGCTTTTTGTTTCTCATGTAAACAGGTCGCCAAGTTTTGTAGGAAACGTAGGAAGAGTTGGCTCGCCCAGTGTAGTGACCTTCCTTCCCTAAACAAGTTTTCTCCATATAAACGAGGCCTTACCGTACTATAACCAGTGGTCCCAAGAGCAATTTTTCCTGTTGTTTGACAAGACATTGAATGTGTTTTGTGAGTCGCACGTAGACGAGTTTTTAACTTTTGATGGTTAGAAAACTCGTGTACGTGACCCTCACATACGCAATATGACCTGCGGAAAAATATTCACTAGAGGAGCAGTATTGTTTCAACGCATTTTATTACAGCAGAGACCACCACTGTATTATTACATGGAATGTCCTTTCAAGACAATTGTTACGCTTTCGCATTCTTGTAATTTACTCCTCGGTTAAAATCATCGTTATTATTGCTGGCTAGCAGTAGCGGGCAGGGTACTATTCACTTTTACGCCTGTGAAATTCAGAAAGTTTGTCGGACGTAAGATTGTAGGCATGCGCTGTTGAACGGTTTATGATTATCCGGGACATTCTCCTGCTGTGTTTGATACTGCCTAAATTTGCAAATGGAAGTCCTTTGGCGTCGTTCGGACTTAGTTGAATTGCTCGCATGGGCAGCAGCGATCAATTGTGCAGGTTCCCTTTCGGCGAAATTTCCAGGTCCACATTTTACCACGGTGTGCAATACATTATCATGTATTCGTAAATTTCTTTATAACTGCACATAGTTGAAATTCGCTACTTTAGAAACTAGAAGGGAACTGAAGCCGAAACGTGTCTCGCAGTGTCTTGCAATTGTATCTGGGATCTTTACTGGGGACGTGTCGGTCAGCTATTGGCCAGTTTTTCCCCTGTCCCTTGTTACAGTCCAAAAGTCTTTGAAAAAGTTAACTAAGTCCGTTTTTCTTCTTGTTTCTAAAGTAGCGAATTATTATGCACTTAAATAAAAAGCTTTTCTTCTGTGTAATCGGTGGACATGAAAATTATAAGCAATATTTTATGCTATTTGACAACGGAGTACATGTGCCTTGTGAGTCGCACCTAGATTAATTGAATTTTTAAATTTAGTGGTTAAAAAATTCATCTATGTTGCGCTCACATGCACATAGCCCGGAGAAAAATGTTCAGGAAATAAAGCTTTTCCGTGCATTTTAGTGTAGGAGGGACCTCCACTGCACTGTTACGTTGCAAAACTTATATTATGCTATCGTTTTCTTATCTTTTCTTTTTTTCTGTGTTATATATCCACCCTACAATCGCAAAAGAGTGAACCAAACTTATTAGGGCCATTTATACGAGGAAAACTAAGACGCGTCTTATTTTAGACGAAATGTTCCGTTTATACGGAAAGTTCGCGTCTTATGTAAGACGCGTCTTATTTTTCCTCGTATAAATGGCCCTATTGTTTCTCAAGTAAACGGGTCGCCAAGTTTGACTAGGAAACGGAGGAAAAGTTCACTCACCCAGGACACCCAGAGTAGCTCGGGTAGTCCAGTGACCCTTCTACTCGGGACAAGTTTTCTCCATATAAACGAGACCTTACCAATACAACCAGTTGTCCTAAAGGCAATTTTTCATGTTGTTTGAAAAGACATTGAATGTGTTTTGTGAGTCGCACGTGGACGAGTTTTCAACTTTTGATGGTTAAAAAACTCGTCGACGTGACGCTCACATTACGCAATATGACCGCGGAAAAATATTTTCACAAGTGGAACAGTATTATTTCAGCGCATTTTATTGAAGCAGAGACCACCACCGTAATATTACATTGAAGCTCATTTCAAGACAGTTATTACGCTTTGGCATTCTTATTAGTTACTCCTCAGCTAAAATCATCGTTATTATTGCTGGCGAGCAGTAGCGAGCGGGGTACTATTTACTCCTGTACCTGTGAAATTCAGATAATAAGTTTGTCGGGCGTAAGATTGTAGGCATGCGCTGTTGGACGATTTATCATAATCCGGGACGTTTCCTGGGCACTGTGTTTGATACCATCTAAATTTGCAAATGGAAGTCTTTTGGCGTCGTTCAGACTTAGTTGAATTGCTCCCGTGGGCAGCAGCGATCAATTGTGCAGGTTGCTTTTCAGCGAAATTTCCAGGTTTATATTTTACCACAGCGGGCAATGCATTATCATGTATTTGTAAATTCCTTTGTAGCTGTACACAGTTTAATATTGAGTCCTTGTTTCAGTCGAATTCGCCAGTTTAGAAACGAGAAGGCAACTGGAGCCGAAATGTGTCATTGTCCCGGAAGTCTTTGCGAAAGTTTAACCCGGACTGACTTAAAACTCAGTCCGGTTTGCCTCTTGTTCCTCAAGTGGCGAATTATTATGCACTTTAAATTATTATAGCTTTTCTTAATTAAGTATGGGACATATAACAGGTGGACATGAAAATTGTAAGCGATAGTTTGTGTTATCTGACAATGAAGTACATGTGCTCTGTGAGTCGCACCTAGATGAATTTTTAACTTTTAATAGTTAAAAAATTCATCTATGTGACGCTCACATGCACATAACTTGGAAGAAAATATTCAGAAAATAAAGCTTTATTAATTCAGCGCAGTTTAGTGTAGGAGACACCTCCACTGTACTGTTACGTTTCAAAACTTATATTATGCTATCGTTTTCTTATCTTTTCTTTCTTTTATGTTACATAATTATTTATCTTTGCTGGTCGTACGTCAACCTTTCAAACGTCAACCTCGTATGTAAGATCGTAAGCATGCGCAGTTGGTTGGTTCATGATAATCCGGGACACTTTCTTGCGATATTAAGCCCTTTCGCGTCGTCCACAGTTTGTTCGATTTTTCATGTTCCTTGCCAGCGAACAGCTTTGCATGATGCATGATTCTGTTGTGGAGCAATTTTCGCTTTCTCCTGGGCAGACGAAGAATATTTTAACTCCATGGCCCACATGTTTCAAACGTTTTGCCTCATTGGTCGAAAAACTTATTTTGTGATGAATGATTTTAATTAGCGGGTATAATTTTTTAGGTTTAACTTAAGTGGCAGAACTTTCTCTGCTCTTAAATACCTTCACTGTAGTATTATTGCACTCTCATTTTCGTTAATCCTATTTTCGGTACAACGTCGTTTTGTAGTTTTACTATCTGTAACGTCTTCAAGGGCCAACGCCGGTCCTCACGTTGACATTGAAACTCAGGTTAGGTTTATACGACACCGACCGTCTGAAAGATTTCACCGGACACTGCGTCCACATGGAACCGTTCAATAGAGCGATATTCGTATGACCTTGAAAAATGGTTTCGGTAAGTGTTCGGGATTTGTTTTATCAGCCAATGGATGAAAAGATCAAAACATGGACTCTTCGTTTTCCCGCCAAAGAAAATCCTAATATGGAGAAGTTATTGTTCGATTGGCCAATCGTGTTGCAGTATGTCGTCAAAGCGAAGTATCGATTGATTTCTAGAAAGTTCTCGGGCGTGAAGTTTTTACAGCCGAGAGTTCGCTTAACCAACCAAAAGCCACGCGCGTTTGTATCCGTTTGATAAACCAATCAAATCGTTCTACGGAGCGTTTTCACATGACGTCACGGCGGTCATATTGATGTTCCAAAACAATGAAACGGCGGCCATGTTGGTGTTCCAAACCAATCCTGTGGAGTTGAACTCTTTTCTTATGTAGACGCTTTCTTTTGTTCCAATAAATTTGCACAGATGCTGGCCACGTGAGTGAAAACGATCTATTTCCGTTCGTTTCATGTTTCTGTTTTGCTCGCGCGTTTTCATTTCAAGTTCATAAGAAAATCGCTCTATTTTCGCCCCAGGCGTCCACTTTTTCGCACGATTAACACCTTAATGCACGAATTTTCAACGGTCGAAATTTCGTCCGGCGCCGTGTGAACGTAACATCCTAGCATACATTTTTTTTTTCGTTCAGTATTCCAGCTAAATTCTTATGCTGAGTATAAGTAAAGCTATAGAATTTCATCTCATCCACAGACTCAAAAAGTTATAACCGCATTACAAAACTCAGTTCATCACTCTTGGAGTCAGAGGATTAAACTTCTAAAGCCGTTTTATTCTCATTATTAAAATTCTTCTTCTTCTTCTTTTTATTATTTCTTATTTTTCCTTGTATTTAGTTCTGAGCTGCAGCAACGTGAATTGGAGGCCATTTCCCACGTGAGAGACAGTGTTCAGATGGTTGAAAATGCGATACTGGAAAGAGATCAGGTAATGGAACGGAGACTTGCTCTTTCAACGTAAATTGTTCACCAAGTACCATGTGAAGGTACTACTCAAGAGGTTCATCACATCAGCACGTCTGTAAAGTGGATTCCAAGGAATTCGCGTCACTTTTTAATGTTTTCTTTTTTTTTTTTTATTTTTTTTCGACGAAATTTACTCATTTTCTGTCGTTTACGGCGCGCAGTTTGCCATTTATAAGTTCTATAAATAGAGTATAATGGGACAGAGAAGGAACGTTAGGGCGTTGGCCGGGATATGTAGATTTCTCTTGAGTTATTTGTAGAGACTGTAAGTAAACGGAAGCCTAATTCCTGAGACGTCCGCATATTTTGATCAAGGTGTGGTTCCAGGTTGAGTTAAGCGGGCTGGGCGAGCTATTACCAACTTGTCTTGGACTACCGAATACTACATTTTGCTCCCTTATACACTGGATGAGGAATTCTTAGTCGTGTTATATACTTCATTTAGCTTTAAGTTATGTTTTATTTTTATAATAGCTCACTTCGGAAAAGAGTGATAGCCTGAGACCCAAACTAGGCGCGCGCGCACTTATTTTGGGAGACACAAATGTAAACAAACATGGCGGAAAGCGAAGTGGAATGTTTCAGCGGGGCTAAAACAGCTCAAAATAGCAAAACGTAAGGTGAAAGTGAGAGAATAAAACATGAAAATGTGAAGCTGAAGGAAGAAGATGTGCCTGGAGCAATTTTACCTCGAGAAAAACCAATAAAATGCACCGTGAAACTACTTCAGAGATGGCTTCTTAGCCGTGGTGCCAAAACAACCGGAAAGAAAACGCAGCTTGTACAAAGGTAAGGACGCGTGGACCGGGAGTTCCTGAAAATATTTGTGCACAAACAACACAACAACTTGCACATCTCATCATAATTCAAGGTGGCTGCTCTACTTGTGTCCCCAAACAATCCCATAAATGAGCGCGCGCTTAGTTTGGGTCCCAGTTTATCATTCTTTTCCGAAGTGAGCTATTAATTGTTGTTCTGTACCAATGTCCGAAAAATTGGAATTCTCTCCCCGCACCAGTTACGTGTTCATCTCGCTTTCCTTCCTTTATAGGAAAAAGATGTTAGATTTTATGAATTGGCCAAGCCGCACACGCCCAGCACTTATGTTATTTGTAAATATATTTGCATTCGAGTTGGCCTCTCTAATAATCCTGGTGTGGTTTCTTGAGATCTCCTAGCCAAAGAAAATGTAGCTTTAAACCTGGTTCACGGTATCGAAACATGGCAAAGTAATGAGGCGGTGTGTTTTTGTTTTCTCATAGGCTCTTGTTCGCGAGCAACAGAAAGTTCAGGAAGTCAACAGATTACAAGAGGCTATCAATAAAATCTTGAAAGAGGCAGGCAAAAGAACAAGAGAAGAGGTACGAGGAATGTGCTATAAAATGTTCATGCTTATTTGCTTAGTTTTTGGGGGGGTGTGGGCGGTTAAGACCACAGTTTAAAAGTTCTTAGCTAGCTAAAAATTTCTGTTCATTCCATGTTTTGGGTATTCAAGTACGCGTGAATGATGGCTAAAGATTAATTTCAGATAGCTTTCTAGACCGTGGCCGCTTGTCCCTAAGGTGGGCCTATGTTCTTCTCACATTAATGGCAAAAAATATATATACAAAATAAAAGTGGACATAGACTAGGAAATAAGTTTTCGAGTAGTTTGGAGGGAACCAAAAGAAAGATAGAATCCCAAAATCAGAATTCTGTTGCCAAAGCGCTCAACTTCGTGATCTGTTTACTTTTAGCCTTGTTTTAGAGGTCTTATTTTTCGCTAGATTTGACTTGTTCGCGTTTGGAATCCTTGTTAGGTGGACGCTGTTCGTAATCAGTGCAATAAAAATATCCAGAAACTCATGGAAGAGATGCATTTCCTGGAAATGGTAAGGCATTTATGCGATACATAATTTCTGCGATATCTCGATAAAGAAGGAGCGACACGATACATATCTCGATACAGATGCAGCGATTCGATACATATCTCGATTTATTGTTTATACAAAATATTTGGTTGTAGTTTTCACAAAGGATCTTATGAAAATTTCGTTCATAAAGACAAATCGCCTTCCACATCTTCTAATGAAAATACGGCCACTCCTAACCTGAGATCAGGCTCTATTTTCGTTTCGCTTTGAAAATTACATTCCAGCAGGCAAGACGAAACGAACAATTTCAGCGGTAGCCGTTAGAGAGAAAGTATGAGAACCGCTAAAATTGGGCCTGATCTCAGGTTAGGCCACTCCATGCCATCGAACTTCCGACTGGATCCATTAGGGTAGCTAACAGTTTCGGATGCGACGAAAATGCCGTATAAAACGTTTGAGACGACCATTTTCCCTGAAAAAGTGATATGCCATGACATCCGAGAAGATAAATACTTTTAAGGGGGACCAAACGAGCCTCTAATGGTTCTCTAAAGAGTAGAGAAAACCATTTGAGACACTTGCAAACTATTGGAAACATTCAGTCATTGGTGGCCTCTGGGAAGGTACTGTGGCCAAAGAATTACGCATTCAAAACAGTTTGACGGAACACTTTGTTCATACTGGACCTTTCATTATTTTTGCTCTGTTCACACGGAACTTTGAATGGGAAGGCATCTTAATTTTCGTACGTTTAAGGTGGTTCCGTGTGAACGCAACACCTTAAACGCATGAAATTTCAAACAGTCGAAAATTTGTCCTGTGCTGTGTCAACGTCAAACTGGCTGTTATACGGCTAATAGACTTCAGCGTTAGGTGATCATTAACGGCTTTACACTAAGGATAAAGGTGCATTGTTGTAGCTTTCTTGTGGCCACAAAGCGAATTAAAGCTAATTAATAAGTTTAGTCAAGCATGACGCGCCCATACATGTATAAATTGAAAACACGGGTTCTCAGGTTGGTAAATAGTTTTTCCTGAATTTAATTTTCTCTCGATTTTGCCCTTCATGCTTTTCCAGAATTGTTCGTGTGGATAATAACAATTAAAAAAATAACATTCATGTTAATTGGACGATAATCGAATTAATGTATTCGAGTGATGACATTGAAAATCGCCGATGACATAAAAATAAAGATACCGTCAGGCTTGTTGACATTTCGGATCGAAAGACGCTAAGATTATTAAAATTAAGAAGACGCTTATACAACTCAACAACTTCAAACTCGCCGGCCGATCTTTCTCGATATGGCGGAATCCCTTGCCCGGCCGAGAGATAAGAGCTGGATTTTTGAATATTACCCGGTAAATAACCTTTTGTTGTTGTTCATGTCGTTTTAAATGTAGTAAATCCCGTATGAACTGTCGTTTCTTTTCATTTTCCATGTCATATTACTAGTAACGGATTACATCTTTCAACTAATAATTGTCAAGAGAAAATCCCAGGGTTTTTTAGTTTTTCATTATTTAATTTTCTTGGCTTTCACTTGAATTCGGGATACATTGTATTTGTTGCAGGGGCTATATGCTTCTGATTTGATGCTAGCGAATAACTTTAAGAACGGGCACCAGTTCATTAAGCTTGAGGTTGATAATTTTAGAACCAGTCTGCGTCGTAATTTGCATACGTTCTACTTATCGTCTTAACTTTACCTTTAAACCTTTAAATACTACCACGGTTCGCTCGCCATGGTACATTGGCGATCTTTTAACGCGATAGTTTTCTGAAGGCTACAAAATACGCGGAGTGAAATTCTTTTGACTCACTTTATTAGGGAAATTCTAAGCTTCAATTTATTTTGAGTTTAGACACCACAGCTGATACCATCGTGCTGTGCAAATGCATAAATAAACAATGGCTAGATTTTTTATCTCAAAGGAAGTATTGTTTTATCATATCCCTTGAAATTTCTCAGTTAAAAAATAGAAACTACAGTGTAAGTTTGTGTCACGTAAGAAACTTCTAGAGGATCAGCTCATGGCAGTCATGGGCAGCTCTCTAATGTCACGCTTTTGTCTGAAGGTCTGTTTTGTCTGTTGATCTTACCATGTGTGTTTGCCTTTGAGCGCCTTTGATTTGAAAAGCATTGGCCACTGATCAAATGCAACCGTAGTCACTAATGTTACAATAGTTTGTCATGCGATCAACTTTCTGTAAACAGGAAAACAAGTCTTTTTGGGAAAATGTTTTTAACATTTATATATATCGCAAAAGTAGCGATTGCAATGGGGCTCAAATTTTCTCTTGTTCATAACATAAGCAAAGTATCCGACAATTTGAAATAGCAAGTTAAAAAAAATTCAAGCAAGATTGTTCTTTAACGGAGCTAGGTGACGTTGGTTTCTACCCTCTTTTTGTTGGATCATTGCCCGCCCTCCCTTGATAACCTCCGCTGCAGGCGCTTGGAAGTATTATGTCTCCCTCTTTCTTTCGCCCATTTCTTTCAAGCGCCTGCGACGTCGCTTACTCCCCGGAGGGAAACTTGGGTAGAGGTCTTCCGCCAAGCCCTACAAACCGTGAACCAAAAATCGTTCATTTCACTGTCCTGTTACAGGCAAGAGACCTTAATTCCTGATCCGGATTTCGTTTATTGTAGAGAATAATGTTTTTTCTTTCGTGGAATTAGTTTTTTTTAAAAAAAGGCTTTCAGGATACCCTCTTCAAGATACTGAATAGTAAA